CTTTGGGAATTCACCTTTCTTAGAGACTGCTGACTGACACTGCAGTGTGACTGCAGAATACGTCCCAGAATTCTTAACATTCCTTTTATTGCTGAGGGTCCGTTAGCAGCACATGATCCAGTTTGTATGTTCTTTCCCTAGATTAAAGCCACGTTAAAATAACACAGTGTATGGGAACTGTTGATCACAGCCTGAACCTCTGATTGACCACCTGAGGCAAGCACTGAGTCAGCTGTGGGAGCGCAGGTGAAGGCAATTCAGCTGTGCTATCAGGAAGGGGTGGAGCCTGGCTGCACCTCTCCTAGACCCCATTTAAGGACTGAGTGCCACTGAGGAAGGATGTCTCTCTGGAGATTGCTCCTTGTGGAGTTTACTGGGAGTCTACAACACTGGTGAGTACTTTCATTTTCTTTGATTACCTTTCCACTGTGATGCTCTTACTAAGCCTAACATCTTATACTTATTGATTTTAATCTTACCAAGCCTAACCACTGTATACTTATTGACTGTGCACACACCATTGTAGAAGCATCTTATCAATGCAGCATACAGAAGAGAAACCCCTTCCCTGCCATGTTTTCTGTGATCACCTTTTTGACAAATCTGCAGATCGTGTAGTTAACTTTATTTATGCTTACAATGGGAGCTCAGGCTGAAACAACTTGTTATGATGAACCTGTATTCCTTTCCTAATTCTGAATATGAGGTTTGTAAGCCCATTTGCATTTAACTGTATTAAAGTGCATGTTGCTGGACTGTGACCACTTAATTAAGTAATTCAAAACACAATGTAGGCATAACTTTATCATTTACTACTCAGCAAGTCTGTGCTATCTACAGATGTAAATGGCAGAGACTTATGATAACATTTGGATGACCAATAAAATGATTAGATAATCATTAAAATAGTTTTTTTCATTTTGAAATCTGCTTTTAAGCCAATTTACAATCCATTTAATAAATACTGTGCAAATTTCATGATACATTGCTTGTATTTGGGTATTCTGTACTAGATTTCTTTGCCCTTTTCTTGCCTTGTCTATACAGTGACATCTAGTAGTGAGAAACTAGCACTTGTTTAGCCCCAGTACACAGCTAAGCACCACCAAGCTGCTCACTCAGTTCCCCCTCCAGCAGGATGGGATGAGGAGAATCAGAAGGTGAGAAGTTTAAAAAAAAAAAAAAAAAAGTGAGCTTAAAATAAAGGTCATTTAATAAGAAAGAGGGTAAAAAACAATTCAAAACACAATTGGACATCATAGCCAACCAATGCCCAGCCCATCCCCAGGTAGAGACAGCTCACCCAGCTAACTGCCCCAGTTTTATTGTTCAGAGTGACAGAACCAGCATAGCTTCACCAAGGGCAAGTCCTGCCTGACCAACCTCGTGGCCTCCTATGATGCTGTAACTGCAGCAGTGGACAAAGAGTAAATGTAATCCATCAGAACTTCAGTTGGCAGGGTCCTACATAACGCTCCTCTCTAAACTGGAAATACATGGATTTGATGGGTGAATCATCCAATGGATGTAGAACTGGTTGCAAAATCGTATCCAGTGGCTTAAAGTCCAGGTGGAGATCAATCAGTGACAAGCAGTGCTCCTCAGGGGTCTGTGCTGGGATCAATGCTGTAAGCTCTGGACAGTGACCACAACAGAAAGTCAGTGTGTACCTACTAGTGCTATTTTTTTTTGTTTGCATAAAGCAAGCGTGCCAGGATCATGAGTCACTAGGCAACAGCTATTTTATAGATCAACACTGAGCTCACTTCTTCTGTTAGCATAACACCCAATTCTGAGCTGGCTGTAGAAGTTACTGCAATAATAAAACTTCATATGTAAATAATGCTTTACCTATTCTTTGCTCTTAATGAAGTTTTATTGAGCTTTAATTTTTTTACTTCCCTGCAGGAGATTTTCAACAGCTATCCCCAAGTCTAAGACATCAAAAATAACTTAGTTTTTTTTCCCTATCCTTTACTGACCTAAGAAATAAGTTTGGACCACAGGGAAACTTCAAATGCACAGTGCCCATCGAGTCTACTCCTCAGTTTTCATGACCTACCTTTAAAAAGCAATGAGAAAACATGGTGGAGTATAAACACAGAAGATATGAAACACAGAAATACATATTCATCATTATGCTCCTATTTAGTTGATTTATTTTAGAAAAAAAATAGTGGACAACTGTCTATAAGAATCAGGTGAACCTGAAATGCAGCGAAGGGAGCAGGGCCATCCATTCTGCAGTATGTGCTGTGTGACATGGAGGTGCAGCTGGAGCTGCTGGGAAATGACCTTGTCCACCTGAAATTCAGCCAGTTATTCTAGATAAAACACTAAACCATATTATGCATCTAAGCCACAATTCTGGATTATCTGTAACAACTGTCTATGCTGTGCTGGAGACAATGTACTCTTATCCCATCTGATCCTGCAGGTCAGACTGGAACTAGCCTGGGATGCATGCTCCCCATGTAACACCTATTTTTGACAGTGCCAAAAGCAAGTGCGCTTCTTTCCCTGTCACGTTTGTGCTCACGGTTCACAGCACTGATGCAAACACAGTGACTGCATCACAAGTGTTGTGTCAAATCCTAGAAGCCTTTCTCAGGCTTGTTTCAGCAACATTCTTCTTCTAGCCCCAGCAGCAATAACAGCTCTGCATTATGAGGTGGAGACATCAATGTCAGTAGCTTCATGTTTCAAAGTAATGTCAGCACGTATCCTACTAACCTACCTGCCTCCTATTACAGCTGAAAGGGTGACATTTCCCAATGGCTTAACAAGGGTTCTATTATTTTTAACACTTTAAAATACACAGCCAAGCCTTATACCAAGATATTTAGATTGCCAAAATAATAAATAAATAAACCACCCAAGCTGCCTCGTTTATCTTACCTGATGCTCAAAGCTAATTAGAGTGTGTACAATTCTTCAGAGATAAGGTAGAGATTATATTTTAGAAACAGGCTCTCTATTTTAAATGCTTCCATGTAGTTTATCATCGCTTCCTCTTGACACTTAATATAGTATTTGATCTAAATATGCCTTGGTTTGCAGATTACTGGAAGCACTTTGATTAATAAATGACACATGGAAGTCAGAAATATACCAATAATGATACAAAGAAGCAGAAGCAACCAAAAAGCTGTACAAAGATTGCAAACAATATTTTTTTAAGGACAGAGACCCTTCCACAAACAAATGTAACAATCACTTTCAGCAACTTCAGTGAATTCAAGTCACCACCATCCTACAAAAACACTAGAAAAAGGCATAGGCAGAAACACGTGTCCATGATATACAGTGAGCCATAAGAACCCGATAAGCATCGGTTTCAAAAGTTTCTGTGGTAGTCAGCAAAACTACAAGGACAATTCCCAAAGTAAATTTACAACAGCAAGGCACCATCACCAATTAAACACTTGCTTTGATTATGCTATGAAATTATATTGAAAGGCTTTAGCAGAATTAGAGCAGAATGTGCCACAGTGGAAGGTGAAGGATAACACACTTGAGATGATTAATTCAGACTATGATAGGTTTGAAAACCCCTTAGATTAAAAGAGAAATCTAACAACAGCTGCCAGACGTTTTTAAAGGACTGTATATGCAAATATGTGTTTTACCATCTTTATGCAACAAATGCAGCAACGTTATCTAGTTCTCAGTGAGCTGAGTTCATGATTAATAATGGGATACTGCCCTGCATGTCTGCTGCAGTTGAAGAGATCAGGGATATCACATACACACTGTAGATTCCCAGAGCAGGTCACCCTGAGATCATTCAATCACTTAGAAAGGACAAAAATGTTGATTCTCTGTAATTATTCCCTTCTGGTAAAAGAGGAGCATCTTCCAGTAAAGCAGAAATCCCTGAACCTAAATTAGATCATTTGGCTTTCCTCAGTGCCAACAGTGAGTCATTCACTTGCACACCAATGAATATCTGGGTTTGGATGCAGTGCCCACTTTTACTGCTTCATCCTTCAGTCGCTATTTAAAAAATACTAGAGAGATCACAAAATGGTAACAACTGGCCTAGCTGCCTAAGCTAATTTACTGAGAGGGCTGTCTCTGGATTCTTTGCCAATAGGGAAGGAATCATTGGCTAAACACGGTGCTCTCTTTGCAGGATCCGGTGTAAAGGGAACAGGACATTCTCCCTTAAATAAAATGACGTTGCAGTTTCTTTGGGGAAAGCTGAGTAGATAACAGCATTGTTTCCTTGAAACAGGGTTTTCACAGCATTACCAGCTGCTTTTTAATTTAAAGCTGTTCCATTACACACTTGTTACAGCACGTTCATTTGGGAGAGAGAGATTTGTTTCCTTATAGACTTCTGCTAGAACAAGCCCACTAAATGTGTGTCTATGGTTAAGTGAATTGTAGCCCCTGCAGGCAGGGAAATGCAAAAGCTCACGGAACAGCCTTTATAATGCACGTAACGCTTACGTGGAATTGGAGCGACACCTGGCGGCAAGAAGCAGCAGTGCAAGTACAAAACTCGATGCTTTGCGCCATTTTCTTCCCCTTCACTAAAAACGGTGAGAAACATGAACGCAGACACTGCCACAAAGCCCCGCAGTCTGCAGTAAACTCACCCCCTCGCTCCGTTTCACGATGGACCCCGTTTTCTACTGAGAAATCCTAGCACTGGAAAGCGCTCAGCCAGCCTCGCTTCGTGCAAAAGGAAAAAAAAAAGTGATTTCAACACGTTGTTCTTACACTGACAGAATGAATGGCTCAGTGAGCACAGTTCTTTTGGTCACAGGGGCGCATTCTGCCTCACACCCACGTTTCTAATTGATTTTAGCGAGTCATTTCCAGCAGGTCTGCTCGAACTGGAGTCACTGGAAACACTGGCCTCAGCATCGCGCCCTGACGTAACCAACATGGCCGCCGTCCATGCGGAGCGAATCCCGCCCTCCTCTCCCGCCCACGCCTCCGATTGGCTGCCGGCTGCTGATGGGCGGGGCGACGCGGTCTCCTAGGCGACGCGCTGATGGCGGGAAGCGCTCCGCTCTCTGGGGAGGCAGCGCTATAGAAGCGATGGTGGCAAAGCTGCGCCTTCAGTAGGCGGGATGGAAGAAAACCGTTTGCTTCCTAAGTCTGATCTGGGTCTGGTGTAAATTCCTCTGCTGTTTCATCTCGGTTTTTGTCTTGAAGCGCTCACCAGAGGGGCTGTGTGTCATTAAATACAAAAGCAGTGGAGATACAGGGATAGATAAAGATGTAGTCTGGGCTATGTGCTTTCAAAAGGAAAACTAAAAAAAAGAAGAAAACAAAGCAAAACAACAGCAACAACAAAAGCCAATCAGTCATATCATTATGTACAAACAAGCGTTTGTTAATGCCGGAGAGTAATTGTAACATTCTTTTCTCAGCTTTACGATTTGTGCAAATACAACTAACTGAGCCCAGTGCAGAAAGAAGTGGTGTAATTCCCCATCCTTCCTGATGGAGGTCAGAATCCCTCTGCTATGGTACAGAATATAAAAATGTTCAGTAAACTAGTGATAAATTGAGATATTCCAGGCACTTCCAGCTTTCTGCTGTTGTAACCCCCATTGAGAATGCATTGGAAATACAGATTCTGGAATGAAATCTTCTAGGAATTTAGATTAAATTATTATTACTATTATTTTACAAACTTCTTGGAAATCCCTGTAAATTACATAGGTAGCTACACAGCTAATGATATTGCTATCTTTTTTTTCCTAAGAAACAGCCATCACTGCAGAAAACTCAAGGAGTGATGCAAAGTGAAAACCAAACCCAGAACCCTGAGGGGATAATTAAAGAGCTGGTAAGATATTTGGTCCTTTTTGTTCATGTTTTGTTGTTGTTTTCCTATTTCTTTTTTTAAATCTTCCTCTCTTCTTCTGTAATTATCAATATTCTTGCTGGGACACACGGTTACTTTTGCTTCTCTAGAGATGCCATTGTAGCATAGCCTCCATTCTGGAATGCCCCAAAGGTTTTATGGGGTACGTCCTAATAAGAGCTTATGGTGATCTGAACATTTCATAACTGAGGTAAAAACATTAATATTCAAGATGCAGACAAAAGAACCTTGCAGAATCACAGGATTGTAGGGGTTGGAAGGGATCACTGAGTCCAACCTCCTCTCTTAAGAGGTTGTTTTCAAAGAACTTACTTTTCAGGTACATTTCCTTGCTTTGTTTCTTGAGAAGTGCTGTACAGGAATATTTTTATACAGAAAGAAAAATGATCTTGTTATATACACCTCATCAAAAAATCTAGTAGCTTTGACTAAATTATGCGTTTTTGTAGATTGTTATGAGCAGAGTCAGCCAATAAACTATTAGAAACTTCATTTACCATGAACTGGTTAGAATTTTAAAATGAGGTCGCAGTCCACATTCACTTAAAGTGTCTGAAGATCTACATATGCTCATCACAGTCAGTGGAAGTAAGGATAGGATTCATCTGCATAGATACAGCCATTTAGTGTCATTTTATCTGCTTTAAGGTACCTAACAGCAGCTGCCAGATACATTTAGGTCCTCTGAAACAGCACTAGATTATTGCTGTATGGTCAGCTGAATCACATCACGTATTGTAAAGAAAACCTACAGAATAATAAATTTAATATCAACACTTCCTGTGGTGATCTGAATGACTTTTCAGGATGCTCTGGCTACATTGGATAAATCTCTTGACTAGCATGAGAGTAAGAGTCTCACATGTAGATAGCTACACACGTAGATACCTACACATTAATCTCAAACCAAATCTCATCTGTAATGAAATTGCATGTCAACTTCTTGCTTTTTGGCCAAAAACTTGTATTATTACATTTGCAACCACTTCAGAAGTAGAAAGCTATAAAACTGCTAAAGGTGCCATGCATATACCTGTATGTGAATGTATGTGTATATATGCTAGCTTATAGATAAATTTATGGATTTCTGGATTTTAATCTTCATTAAAATTAGCATATTTGAAAATTACTTTGTTTTAAAATGAAGGTGCATTCTGAGGTTTGATAAGAACTGACAGAACACATTGAAAGTGACTTGTGAACAGAAGAAAGCTATTTAACTGTTTCATAATGAATGTGGTCCAAATTGCAAACAACATTTTGATGTATGGGAAGCTTTAAGAGAACTGATGCTAAGCAGTGCTGTAACATCAGTAAGATGTTGTACTTTATAACTAATTTTTTACACTGTGGATATAAAGAGAATAATGGTTGCATTTCATTTCCAGTGCGCGTGTAATGGATTGTCTTATGAGAACATAGATCAAGAAGGACTGAAAACAACAGCTCTGGAGATGTTTTTCTCTGGTTACCCTAGAATTGTAGGCATGAAATATTTCCCAAATCTAACTACTCTCACTCTTGTTGGGCAACGTATTGAAAACATTACAGGCCTGAAGCACTGCTTGTTGCTCAGAGAGCTGTGGATTGCTGAGTGTTGTTTAGTGGTAAGTTAACTATCCATTTTCTTTCTGGCCAACTGTAACCAATTTCCAGACCTTTACAATAACTGTAAGTTTGTTTCACAAGCACTTCTGTTTGTTTGAGGCAGAGCAGGCAGAACTTTTAAAAGGAGTTTGGATCTGGCACTTTTAATTGAAGCTTCCAAAATCACGTTTTAGGTGCAGATCAAGTTACCTCTTTTGAAATATTTGTTAATTATCTGTTAAATATTTATATTTAATTATTTTCAATAACCTACCATTGGATTTTTTTATTTCATACTATATATTTTTAAACTGTAGCAGGTATACTGAAACCTTTTCCAGAAAACTAGTTAGAACATAAACTTTCCATGAAAATAATACTGTATTTAAAGTCACATAATTATCATGAGCTTCTACTCTTTCTTTGTTAGGTTAATGGAAATCTTTCTAAATTAGTATAATTCTTCTCAAAAGGTGTGGTATCGAATTGTTCAGAACTAGCTGGCAATGCTCTGTGGTGTACTGACAGAAAGAGTGACGTTTTTTTGGTGCTGCAAATACATCTTCTTCTATTTTAGAGAATAAGTGGTCTACAAAAATGTGTAAATTTAGAAAAGCTTTACCTTTATTGCAATGAAATTTCCAAGATTGAAAATCTGGAAGCCCTAACAAAGCTGAATGTACTTTGGTTGAATAATAACCAGATCAGAAACATAGAGGTGAGTCTGCTCTTTTTGTTATAGTTTCTTTTCTTCTGATTTGTCCAATGCATGGCATATTAGTAGTATGAAATCTAAATATGTTATTAAGTAAGGCTAACTTTCAGAATAATAAGGGCAATGTTAATCTTCAGTATGTAAGAATTAAGGCTGAAACATTATTTGGAATCAAGTAACTGTCATGATTTTCTGCATATGCAGAGTTAACTTACTGAGCCATTTTCGAACCTCTGTGACTACTGATGAGGAAAGGATTTTTGTGTGTGTGTTCTTACAACTGCAGATTTCTGTCTGCATTTCAGCAGTAGGTAAATGTTTTTAATTTTTATGTATTTTCTTGTCTTGGAAGGACGAATACCTATTCGTCCTATTCAGAAGAATTTCTATCCTGGGTTTTTCTCAAGCTGTCACATGACAAATTATCTCCTAGGAATAAAATGGTTTCTTCTATCTCACCTCAAAATTAACATTCTTCATTCTGACCTTTGGGATGGAGTTCAGTCCAGAACTAGCAAGATTTCTGCCATTAGCAGTTGGGCATGTAAAAGGAGAAGAAATGTATAAATGCTCATTTCTAGCAAAAGACAACATAGCATTTTGAATTACCTGACTCACATCAGGAAGAGAGAATGCTGCAGCCCAGTCTACTTTACCACGAGAGAGTTCATGAAAACAAGGCAGAAGGAGACAGTGATACCAAGATAAAATAGCTGAAAGTAGATAGAGTAGAAGGAGATGCTGATAGGGATCAAGTTATTGTGAATCTCTAAAGCCAGAATGAGGAAGGAATGGAAATCAAAGTTGAGCATACTGATAGAGAGCTGACAGAGAACACGTGTAAAGGCACTATGGTGTTACAAAGTAGAAATTATTATTTATTAGTGAGTACTCCACAAATATTAGTGGCATCTCTTTGCAAAGAACTGCAGTGTCATCATGAAGACGAATGATTGACATCCGTGATTCAGTTCCTGTGATGTCCCGAGGCCAAGACATGGGCTGCAGCCAAAAGCTAATGAGTACTCACGGCATGAGGCATGATCTGTTCAGCTTTTCATACACAGCTGTGAAACTAAGGCTGGAGGACCGCATTTATTTCCATTGCAGTATCATTTACAAAGGCTTTCCAAGCTCTTTCCCTCTGGGCAAAATGCATTCTCTCTTTCCATGTCAAAAGAAAGCTATAGTTTACAGCAGAGGCTAACATTGTTTAGACTCCAGTCAAATTTATTTTTACATTTGAATGATCTGCCTGTTGGCCTCCGGGCTCTTCAGCATTTGCAGTGCTATATTAGATTAAAACTGTATTGTTTAAAACATTCACAGGGCTTACATACTCTGCAGAATTTGCAAGAGGTCAACTTTGCTGGAAACTTAATATCAAAAATAGGTAAGTAATTTTAGTCTGGTATCTCTAGTGCGAGAATTTGGGTTGCTAATGTATTTGGTTTAATCTTCCTCTCATTCTAATAGAAAAATTTTTACCAACTTGCATGGTTTAGAGTCACACCCAGTATGCAATCCTGAACATCCTAAAGTTCATGTCAAAAATCCCTAGGGTTCATCTTTGTTTGCACTAACGTCCCTTCCATTGCTGCTGCCACGTCAAAGAAGACAGAAAATAGGCGTCAGTGTTGTTTATTTTTCTTTTTCACTGCTTTTAGTGCAAAGGGCTCCTAGTTTTAATCAAATCTGTTTGGTCATAAGTAGCAATGTAAGTTGTTTCTGCATTTCTAAAGAAATAGTACAGAACCTACAAGTTTTTCTTCATTTATCTTTATCAGTAATAAAACAATCTTCCAAATGCTATTTCCTCTCTTTGGGTGGAAATGGAAAATAATATAATAGGTGTATGTGATTTCTTTGTGTTAAACAAACCCACAGAAGTGCTTATTTCATCATGTGATTGAACTAGTCCCAAGGATGAAAATGTAGATATTCTAGTAGACAACTACATTTTCTTGACCGTGGTTTGTGTTTCTTTAATTTTAGGAAGTTGCTTGGACTTCAATACAAAAATTGAAAAAATAAACCTCTCTCATAACAAATTATCTTCCTTCAAGGTATGTTTACACTTAATATCTCTTTTAGATGTGTTTTTTGGTGTGTTTGTTTGTTTTTGTTTGTTTTTGAATGGTGCTTGGAGAGAGCTGATACATATCACATAATATCACACAGCTGAGTGTGATATTAGAGGATCTGGGTATTGGGAATATTAAACTACCCATAATGACATTTTCCTGGTCCCTTTGTACTTCAGACTTGTGGCTCTTTGCCTTATTTCTTAGGTTTAAAGTCCTTTAAATCTTATCTTTACTGAAAATATTTCAAACATTTTTGTTCAGTGACCTCACATTTATCTTTTAAGCTTGAGCAAGGCCAAGTCAGGCTCTTGAGCAAACAATCTCTTCTTGAGAATTACTTCTTCACAGAGATTTAACTTCATTTCAAACTTTCGCTTTGCTTTTCGCTGATGGCTTATAGGTTGCTTTTTCTCCCCCAAAATTCATGCAACGCCTAGAAAAAAAGAATTCCCAACTCTACATGAACCTTGAAAGTTCTGTAAAATTGCACGAGGCCTTCCTCATGAATACTACTGTATTTGTGCTCCTTTTCTTCTTCCTTCCCTTTTCCTACTGCATTCTTAGTTCTATATACGCTCTTAGTTATTAAAGCCCCACCTGATTCCTTGTGCTGAAATGTAATGAAATACCCATTCTTTGAATAAGGTCTAGTGGCATGTTGTTATTACACCTTTTTCCTTGTTTTTCAGGAACTCACTAATTTGTCAAGACTACCTAATTTAAAAGATTTGGCCCTAAATGATCCTCTGTATGGACCCAACCCTGTATGCCTTCTTTCTAATTATGCCATCCACGTGCTGTATCACATACCACGGCTTCAAAGGCTGGATACGGATGATGTTTCTCAAAAGCATATCAAGATTCTGGCAGAGGTAATTCAGACTTTATGAATGGCTTTTTGACTGGTGATGCATTTTTCTGTTGTCTCTGAGTTTCAGCCAGCTAAGGGAAGTGCTTTATGTTACTGCTCGATACTGGATTAGGTTGTCAAAGTTTTGAGTTTTGGCTTGGTCTTAAAATTTCTGGACTCTTTTCTTTATGTATGATATTGTATTGAAATAAGTTCTTTTGTCTCACAGAAATCTGAATGTATGCAATTTACTATGGGAAAAAAATGCTATCTTGTAATTGAGATACTTCAAATATCTTGCTATCCATGTAGAGCATCTTTAAATCATAGAAAATAAAGTTCTGTGCTTAAGAATATACAGAAAAACTGTGACTAGATTTCACCTCTCAGTGAAGGAAGTCATACAGTGTATTTCAGTGTGGAATACATAGTGTGAATCTTCATCCTTTTGCTTTGAAAAATTTTACTGGGGGAAATGTGCTTATACCACCTGAGAAAAAGAGTTCATGGCAGCAAGTGGTCTCAGATGAGAAGTGTGTTTGTTGGTTTATCCAGAACATTGAGAGCATTTTCCTAATGATATTACTGAACATTTCTGGATACAGACCCAGAACTAAGTGGGGTTCATGGAATGAAGCCGTGGTTGAATCTGTAGCAACAACACAAAATTTTCTTACAAACATTATTATTGCTTGTTAAAAACTGAATTATAAGAATATGTTCATTGCAAGACACCATCCAATGTCTGATGATCAAATACAAAGAAATTCAAATACACTAAAATGATATTTAGAAATGCAGAAGGAATATGTGATGCACAATTTGCAAGGTTAATGCCTTGTTTTGCAGTGTTCTTCAGGAATAAGCTATGTGATAGTTCAAACTTTTCAATAACAAATTAATGATTTCCTTTTTTTAATTTTTAAAGACTACAATTATGAAAAAAATAATGTACTATCACATGCATGTAAAAAGCGTTCAGAGACAGCTCCATGGCAAGCTTGAGGAGCTAAAAGAAAAGAAAAGCAGACTGCAGAGTTTGCCAGAAAATAAGATAAAGTTGTTCATCTGCAACATAAAACAAGTAAGTGTAAATAGCCTGAAATGTCAGCAGAGATGCATTGTTTAAAACACGTAGCAATGACAGTTGAGAAGAATTGTTTTATTTAGATTTTATTTTTCCTGATGGAGTCAATTAAAGGAATATCTTAATGTAAATTAATAAAATCAAGCTTTCATATCCTTAAATTTGTGCAGTTCCAGTTTCGTTTTCACCATTAAGGTTATATTCATTGATATTCAATAAAGTATTTCATGAAAGTGCATCTGCTTTTACTAATCTGTGTACTCTGGGAGTTCATTTCTGCCTGAAAGGTAGTCCTTTTCCAGTGTAGCCAACTACAAAGTGTCTGGGACTTCAGTTGTTGCAAGGGATCCATTTCCAAGTTCAGTTCTTCTAGGTTCATAATTATGTAAACGTGGTGCCTCAAACCTTGAGTGAGTGCTTTAGCCAATGCTTTTCTAGCTGGAACAGAGTCAAGATAAAAGTGCAACCCAGCACAGCGGACTAGGTAGGATACACAACTTAATGTGGTAAACTGAATTTTGAGTTGTTGTTTTTATTCATCCAGACCAGAAGATCACAAGGCACATTCCAGGTTCCTAGATCATTTCAGTTATTGCCTATTCTAGTTGACACCATGAACACTGATGAAGGCTCTGTGTTCAGCTTGCTATATCTTTTGCATTTTGGAAAGGTATTTTTGTTTGCTTTTGTTTTTCCCTCACCCAAGGTAGGTTTGTTTTTTGGATTTGTTTGTTGATGTTTTTGTTTTTCTGATTTCCAACTGATTAGTCTGTTCCCTTTCCTTTGACAACAGCGTATAAGTAACATTGTGGATCAGATTCCAGTTGCATCAGTGCATCCATGGTGATTCTTAAAAGAAAAGAAAAGTATCACAGATTATCTGTACAGCAATTTGTAAAAATTCCTAGTAGGTTTTTAAAGCACTTTGGAGCATAAATGCCTGCAGATAGTTCACTCTGCTTAAACTCCAATGGGAATATTATTTAAAATAAATATATGCACAAAGTTGCTTTCTGTTTTATGAAAGCCAAAATCCCTGAGTGTTATTCCAAAGGACTGAAATGCAGTTCAGTGCCTTGCTGTAGATAATTTCAGCTGCATAGTGGCTTGATTAATCCTGAAGATGTACTTCAGGAAATAATGAGAAGAGTTTTGATTCCACTCAGCAGTGAGTAATTACTATGCCACACAGTGGACAGACATGGAGAGATAAATGGTCCCTGCCATTAAGTGTTTAAGAAAAGCTGCAGTTCTATTCTAACTCTGCTGTCTAACTGTTTTTCTTCCTGAGACACGCATCATAATGAACTTAGGAGCCCATCCTGCCTGTGTAAAAGTGGTCTGATTGACATGAATAGGAGCAGGATGCAAAAGAAAAATGTGTACATCTACTCAGAGTAAAGCTGTCCCTTTGGCTAATTAATTTCTTTTCTACTCACTAATCAAGAGTTAATATTTATTGAAATAATTTTCTGGTTTGATGTTTTGAGATACGTATTTTAGTACACATCTAGAGTGTTTATGTGTTGAGAAAACTTAAGATAATTTTCATGTCAGGTTTTAACTTAATCTCTCGCCTCAGAATCATGATGTGTTATTTTTATTAGCTGGAATGTGAACTGGACAAGATGGAAATGCTGGATAAAACAGCAAGTAGTGAATCTCAAAGGAGAAGGAATCTGGCAACTGAAAATTCAGTTCATGATAATGAAGATGCAGAAAAGGCATGCCTTAAAAAGGCATTTGTACAAAAAATAAATGCCATGAAGGAAAGAATAACATTCTGGAACAGAAAACTGGATGAGTATGTTTAATGATTTTTTTAGGAAAAGAAATGTAATGTTTTCAATATTAATATTTGGATATAGTTGGTGGTGGTGTGGTTAAGAAGTTAGCAGCAGGACTTGAAGCCAATCTCACATTCAATTTGGATGAGATCCAAACTTGGGAGTATTGCAAATGTCAGAAAAGTGACAATTCTTTGTGTTCTCAGTTGTTAGATTCAGGCCAATTTCTAGCAGAGAGATGTCGCCACTCCTGTTATTGATGGTCTCGGTGAATAAAAAGGTTTGAACAAAAATAACTGGAATGTGTATCTGAACTGGACCAGTGCTTGGAAAAGATTTCTGGGCCTTTAAACAGTAGACATTTCTAGCAAAACACTGTGGGTTTTGTTTTCTTCTTGTTTTTTTTCCGCTTGTAATCCCAATGTGATTTTAATGATTTCCTTTTCTTGTCATTGTTATTTCTGGCTTAGTGCTTCATGTCAAATTGCTCTAAAGTCAATGACCAGCAGAAGGTCTCCCTCAGTAGGGCGTGTGGAGAGTAACAGTGATACCATGGGCACTGTGTTAAATGCTGTCGTGGATCTGAAGCTCACTCTACACAGTTCTCATGAAGGAGGAATTAGATGACTCTCCTCTGAAGAGTGGAAAGCTGTGTTTTTGTGTATAAGACCAATAAAGACTGTTCCTATTAGCAAGAGTAGTAGACAGTCTATAGAGCATCTAGCTCCAGAGGAATCATTTAGTTTCTGCATTTGGGTAGAAATAATATATTGAGATAGTACAGCTTAAAAGCACACTCATAAAGGTGGAGGGACAGTTGATTGTGTCAAGGATGGAACAATTTATGGAGTGGAGAGCTTATAGTATGAAATATATTGCCTTTACTTACACAGATTTTAGTCCAGTGCCTCACACTGAACCTAAGGCCATCAATCTTTTTATTAGTACTGCAGTTTGGATTGATATCATCATGAACAATAAAGACTAAATTAAGACCTCGCCCTGAAAGAGTTAATTCATAAAATTACAGCATAATGGAATTGATGAATCTTGATGTTATGGTCAGTACAGGGCCTTAACTATCCACAGTTATGATAGTAAGATTTTTTTGTGATGTTAGATTTTTTTCTTAAAAATCAGTAGTTCTAGAATCATTGATCTCTTTTTATTTCTATTTTTAAAAAGCTAAATTAACTCCTCTCTCTTAAAATACTAATTTATGCACATTCTTAGTATGTTGTTTTAGACAAAAATTTTGTTTCTTTTTTGCAGAATTGAAAAAGATTACCAAATGGAAATGAAGAAGAAGAAGAAGAGTTTTAACTTGTTAGTCCGATTCCTGTTGTTGGAATTGGAAACATTGGGAAACATTCACTTTGAAGAAGGTTTATCAAATAATCCCTGGTAAACTTCTTAGTATACTCTAAAAGTTCCAGTTATGCTCCATTTGTGGACAGCTGATTCCTTCATCTTCTCTCAATGGTGGACTAGGCTAAAGCTTTGACTCCAAAAGAATGTTTATTTTTAAGAAGAAAAAATTACCCAATTACTTTATAACAACACTGACAGTAATGTTTATTCTATGTTCCTAGAGATTTCTATTGTGAAGGAGCATTAGAAGGTGCTTACATAATCTTTGTGTGAGTAACCTTGAAACTCATTTGAGGAGAGATTCAAATTTAGGTTGGCAGTATTTCAAGGGCTGTTTTCTGCTTGAGTACTCCAAGCTTGTCCAGCTCAGCTCTGCCTTCCTACTGTGCTCAGGGATGTTTGTTAGAGCTGCAGGTAGCCCTGTACTTACAGATTCAATCTGAGGTTGTTCATCGATAGCGTTCTAATTATTTTTAGCATTACTTTCTCAAGCCAAGGATCTTTTGGTTTAAAAATATTAATAAATATTTTTGCTTAGAAATTAATAAACTGCTCTTCTAAGGAGGACAATGTATCTCAGGTTTTTTGAACGAGTATTCTTAGCACAAAATCTTTTTGAGAAATACAGTCGGAAGGATTAATGCAAATAATAAAAGCTTTGCCCTATGTTCTTCAGAAAATTTTCCACTGATTGAAAAACTGTGGAAGATACTGCACTTCTAGACTGAATTTCTTCTTAAGGAGTCTGACTACCAAGAAAATTGTTAAAGAATTTCATTGTACCAAATGGAATTACAGAAGCAAGTCTTAGCAGTCAGCACAGAGTCAAGGGCCATGTGTTTATTAAGTGACCTGACTTGTGTACCACAGGGTAGAACAGGGTAGATGGTAGAACAGAACTCTGAGCTCCAGTCCCCAGACTCCCAGCTAGACAGTGGAGCACCTCTTCTTTCTCAAGTTTTAAGCTAGAAACTATTGAAGATTCTTGCAGACTAGTGTAGAACTGCTACTTTGTGAAGTAGGATTTAAACAGGTTATAGATACAAGAATGCAAGTAGAGAAAAAGAACACATATGGTTAGGTGTTGATGTTTGATGCTTAACTTTGAATGCAGTGTTTGAATAAAATTAGGTAAATTCCTTTATCTCCATCTGAGAGAATGAAGTTGTAATGAAATGAAACAGGCTAGATGTGTTGCTTGTGATTCTTTCTTTTGAACAGGGAACAGAATAAAATAATGTAGGTTGAGCTGAAGAAGAAAAAATTAACACTGTTTCCTCTGTGTATTTCCACGTGCAGGTTTAGTTCCTGTTGTGATCTAATTCAGTCACGATTTTGTAGCAGGGATTTCAGAGTGTATGATATCATTGGAGTGAAAATAAACCGTGCATTTAGGGTGCACAATCAAATCCTAAGGTTGAAATTTGAAGAGAAGCTCCAAACGTTTCTGGAAAAAGAAACCTTCGGTGTAGCAGAGTAAGTGCATAAGTGCTATTTAGTGTAGCACTGCCATGTGAACAAATTAAAATCTGTGATTTCAAAGAGTAAAAAGACTTTGCAAAGCATCAAATAATATAGGACTATGAAGAAGTTTTCCTCAGATAAAGACCTTAAAGACCATTTAGTTTCAACCTCCCTGTCATGAGCAGGGATAGCTCCCAGCAGAGCAGCTTGCCCAAAGACACATCAAACTGCCTGGAGCACTTCCAGGGACAAGCACACATAACTTCTCAGGGCAGCTTGTGCCAGTGCCTCACCACCCTTACAGTGAATTTTTTTTTCCTTATGTCATATCTAAATCTACCTTCTTTTAGTTTGAAGCCCTTACCCCTTGTCATATCACTACATGCCCTTGTAAAAAGTCTTTCTCCAGCTTTCTGGAGCCCCTTTATTGGTGGGCTAGGAAGGTTGCTGTAAGGTGTCCACAGATTTTCTCCAAGCTGAATGCCTTAGCTCTCTCACTCTATCTTCATAGATGTGCTTCTGCTCTCTGATCATCTTCATGGACTCCGCTGGAGTCACTCCAACTGGTCCATGTTCTTCTTATGTTGTGGGAATGCTGACAGGGTCTCATGAGAGAAAAGTTGAGGGGTCACACAGTAGCTTGGTAGAAAATACTAGGCATGAGACGTGCCTCAGATTGATGATGTTAGAATCTGTGTCTTATCTATTCCTAATGTGGCTGTGACAGTAAATGTTGTTATGAATGGCCAGGTTCCTGAAAGCTGAAAGGAACAGTAGATGAACAATGCAAATCAAAGCCCTCTTGGATGTATATGCATCTGTATTTCATTTGTACCACAGGAGAACATATGGATAAGTCAAGGCAGTCACAAAGTTGATTTGTATCCATGCAGATTAGCCCAGTTTTTTATGCAAGTGTTAATTTTGAAATTTATGTCACTGTGCTAACTTATTTCACTTCCTTTCACAAATCAGCTTGAGACTTACAATGCAAACATGGTTTTCATCATAAGCATTGGTAATTATCTGCCCACAACTGTGTCTTCAGTGTCTTAGGACAAGTGGTTGTCCACTTGTAGCTATGAAACAGAACCACTGCTTGCATCCATTCTTTTCTTTGCAATACTGAGAAATTTGCAGACTTGATGTGTCACTGTATTTTTGAAAGTTACAATTTTACCAATTTAAAGTTCATTTACACTTTTGATCTTTTTTTTTAATACAACATGAAGCAGATTTGTTCATCCCTTACTATCCTTTGCATAAAGTTGGAAACACAAAATGATCATCACTCAAATTATTTAAGCTTGTACTGGGTATCAGATTGTTCCTGTGCTTTTTTTCTCACCCTGGGGAACTCAGATTGGTACAGCCAATAGTATTTGGAGTTCTTTTCGTATTTCCTGGAGAGAACAAAACTTTCCAGGAAGTTCCTCAGAGTATTCTGTATCATGGTGGTACAATATATCCTGCAGGCTGCAAGGAAAACTTTCCTAGTGTGTTATCTCCTAGAATGGATTAGCCGTGATTGATCTGCTCCTAACGAGCAAGAGCCAGGCAATTTATGGCATCAGTCTTCCCTAAAATGTAGTTATGTAGGAATCAGCCCATGCTTTTTGCTCAAAAAATTGTTCTTAAATTGAAACAACCTTATGGTTTACTGCTAATTTTGGTAAAAGGAGAAATGGCGGAAGGGGAGGGCAGTGAAGTCAGGATACAAAAGAATAATTATCAACAGTGATGTAGTATTTCCTGCTGTTAACACAGATTGTGTTACTTTCTTTCTTCTTGTGCTAAAACTACCTTTGTGGTAGAGATCTTCAGCAAATTAGAGACTTACTTTCTTGCAGCAGCATTGTGTTTTAACCCCTGCACACAGCTCTCACTCACTCTCCTCAAATGGGAAGAGGGTGAGAATCAGAAAAATAGAAGTGTGAGAACTCACAGGTTGAGGCAGTTTTCTATGTAAAGCAAAAGATGAATGCACATGCAAAGTAAAAGAAGGAATTCATTTTCTACTAACACATTAGCAGGCAAAAGTTCAGCTGCTTCCAGGAAAGGAGGGCTTACCATGTGTCACTTCCTTGGGAAGAAAAATGCCATCATTCTATATGTCCCCCACTTCTCTGACCCAGTTTTTACTGCTAAGCATGACTCCGTATGGTATGAGGTATCCCTTCCATCAGTCTGGGTTGCCTGTTCTGGCTGTGTTTCCTCACAGCTTCTCATGCACCCCCAGCCTGCAGGGCAGCTCAAGAAGCAAAAAAGTCCTTGGCTTTGTGTAAGTACTTTTCAGCAACCACTAAAAACATTGGTGAGTTATAACCACTGTTTTCTTCAAAAATCCAAAGCACAGCATCACACCAGCCTTTCTCCATGAAGAAAATTAACTTCATCCCAGCCAAAACCATCACAAGAGGCAAATAAAAAGGTACATATTTTTAAAATATGATAAAGGAAAGGGAGGCTAATTATACCAGTTGTAAAGACTCAGGGAAGACAATTCTCTCTTGCAAGTGATTTTGAGATTACAGTGAATATTATAGAATTTGAATTTATTATAGTCTGCTATCTTATAAATGCTATCTGCTGTCTTGTCTAAAAGTGTATAAACTTCCTCTGGTTAGAGTAGCTATACTTGTATTTTGTCTGCTTTTGTAACTACATAATGAAAACCTGAAGCCTTTCCCTGTGTCTTTTCTTCTTAAGAAACTACAAAGAGAAGATGGAGTATCTCTTTTATGTATTTAATCCTGAGTGGTCAATTAAGGAAAAGCAGCTGCTTCAGATACTGGAAGATGGCTTTCATGATGTGGAAACGCATGCGGTATGCTATGCAATGGACAGAGGAATGTTATAAGTAAAGGATAGCAAAGGGAGTAGTCAGAAAAGTGCTGCTCTCTTCTCCCCTTTTCTTTCATCAGTTTTCTATTCATTCATGTTTCCTGTTTCTTCCTGTCCTTATCATATTTCTTCATTTTACTCCTGCTTCGTTCTTCACATCTTTACGCCATTTCAGGCAAAGCCATGATTAGCACTTTCCCATTTTTCCTCACTGTCGTCTTGTCCTTTCCTTGCCCTTTCTCTTGCTGTTGCACATCATCTCTTCTCACTCACCACTTCTCATTTGTGTCTCTGTTAGTTTGCCAGTACTGTTGCAGGACTAATTTGAAGGTCTCCACAGTCACTGCTGCAGCACCTCTATTAGCTGCCTGTGGATCACAATGGTTCAATCATTTCTTCAGTCATTTACCTTCAAATTTTCATTTCTGTGTGTTTCAACACAATATTATTTTGTTTTTCCTACCATGGCTATTTTAAATCATATCAAGGATTTTCAGTTCTTTCAATCTCAGTTCCAGTAATGCAGCATCCTGTGGCTTGTTTTGCAAGCCTTGTCCTAAAACTAAATCACTACCTCTTTTGTCCTTAAACACACTAAGATTAAGATTAGTATTTTCTCTGGTATTTCCAGCTACCTAACCCTAACTATTGGTCCCTGCTGGCATGGATCCTAGTTGTTAGCCCAATCATAAACCCTTGAAACTGTCAGTCCTGTCCCAATGACCCGTTTCAGCACTAGACTGAAAAAATAGCCAGACAAGTGTAATATGTTATTTCATGATGAGTAAAAAATTATGATCAGAAAAAGTATTTTCACAGGCTGATAGAATGATTGAGGTTGGGAGGGACCTCTGGGAATCATCTTGCCTAACCCACCATTCAAGTAGTCACTAAGAGCAGACAGCCCATGATTTTGTCCAGACAGATCCTGAATATATCCAAAGGTGGAGATATTTCAGATAAGGAAATTTTTCTTTTGGCTAACGAAGGAAAAATATAGAGTAGGAAAACAAATTTATGGCAACATATCACTCTTCTCTGTTACTCTCCTTTTCTTCTTTCCAGCCTTTTGCATGCCTGCCTTTCTTGTTTTTCTCCAAGAAAAGATCAGATTTTTGGACAGCAAGATTTTATCTTCAGATTTTTTTTGCTATTTTCAGCTTTTGCTTTATTATCATTTGCATGGTATTAGCTTACAAAGGCTGCACTGAGATTCTTCTTTGTGGCATTAGATGTATGTAAGCATAGGGGAGGACAGGCTCTACACATAAAACTAACAATCGGATCTTGTCTGTTTCTCTCATTCTGTTAAAATAACAGCATAAACCATTTTCTTACTCTTTATTCTTCACTTTTCCTGCCTGGCATCCCTTATTGTAATTCATGCGTATATTTTCATGCTGCTTCAATTTATTTACATTTCTGTGGGATGGACTAAGTCAAAGATACTTGGGCCTTTAATCTTTGCAGCAGCCTGGGAGGAATGAAGCTGTCCTTCTTTGTAACAGCCTGAACATATGTGAATGTCCCAGAATAGAGTTTCTGAAACAGCAAGCCAAGACAGAAGGCAAAAACAGGAGTGATCCTGAGGAGTCATTCAGGCATGGTAATCCAGAGTTTGGAAGGATGTAAAACTGATGTTGAGTGGCTTGTATAATTGCTGTACTTTGTGTTATAGGTCCAAGGCCAAGAGCTGGTATATGTAACCTTGAAATGAGCTCTGAAACTTTGTGGAAATCTGTTCTAGTGGCGTTTCTGAATATTAGGAAGCTCCACAAAGGACTTGGCTTACTACAAGTAATTCGCAGACAGGAGTTTGAGAATCCATGGGAAATGTTCTCATCCGAGAAATAATTAGCTATATCTAATCTTTTCATGATCCAGAAGCTCTAGGAAAGGGCAGAGCAAAGAAAGGCACAAATACATTGGGTTAATTTGTGTCCAGGACAGGGCACCAAACGGAAAAATACTTTGTAGGCTGGTTTCTAAGAGACAAGGCTTTGGCAGTCATGCGTGTGACTGTCATTTCTGTGGCTTGGGAATGATTAAATTTCAACCAAATCTAAAAAAAATAAAATAAAATAAAAAAATTAGAAGTCTCAAAGATAATAAAGTATTCACAAATTTTGTAGAATTATGGCTAAACATAGATTAGTTTGCCTCCCATGTTCTACTGTTCATTAAATCACTTGTAATTCAGATTTCATTTACTTTAAATACTAGCCAGCTAGAAAAGTTGTATTTCAATGCGTACTTGTTTTTTTGCCAGTCTATGTATTTCATGAAAAACACAGATGTTGATAATGATTCTATGTTTATTTTATATGTGCATGTATATATATATATGTATTACATACTTACTAGACCATTCATCTACTAGCCAAAGATGTCTTATTACATTAAGCACCATAGTTTTATTATCCCATCCCCACTCCCTAAGCTAGAAGCATTGAGTGTCTTCTCTCCACTCTTAGGGACAGTGATAATTGCAAAAGTTTTCCTTGGCCACAGTGCTCCAGTTTGTCCAATGAATCCCATCTGTCAAGTCAATTACCCAGGAGCTAATTCAGTATTCAGGCCATGGAAATGCCTAGAAAGGGATGCATCTCCTTCAGGTAATGGTATGTAGCAGTAGGTATTTGTTAGCAAAAATTTAAGGCTAAAGTAACATTTGTTTTCTAAGCTGAACTACGTGTTTTCAAAGACAAGAACAAGTCAGAAGATCCCTCTTTGACTAAATATTTGTGCTAGTTTAGTCCACAGAGTGGAAGTGAGCTGTGCCACACTGATTTTAGCCATTAATCCACAGTAAGACTAGCATGCTTCTGAGAAAAACAATGTTATGAGTAATGAGCTTAAATCTGTATTGTATGATGTGCATCCTCTCAGTGATAAATTCCACCTTACCCTTCCTTTTCAAGAGAACACAGAGTGGAGAGTGAGTAATAATTTTACCTCTTCTGTTTGATATTCCTTCTAAACATTCAGGTGCTTAAAGTGAGCAGCACCTGTCGCTTTATAAAGGAATTGGGTTTGTTTCTGGTTTTTTAGAATGGAAGAAAAAGAAACATCATTAGGAAGATGATCACATCATGATGTAACGAAGTACTTTGGGACAGCGCAGCAACAGAAGCATTGCAGGAGAGCAGTCTGTGATCTCCAGACCTAAGTTTGTCTTCCACAGGCAGTGATCTTCATGCTGGAATTTGGCACATACTCATTCTACATGGGCAATTAGATAGCTTAAAGTCTTTTATGAATCTGTATGGCAAAGAAAGTCTAACAGCAGGAAGGAATAAATCCGAACTACCTTCATGGAAGGAGATATCTTTGATTTATTAACATTCTGAAATGAATGCTTAAGAACAATGTATTTTTTTTTCCAATTTCCTCCACTTTAGAAATGTGGGCTCCTTTGGAACAGAGAAATTGTGACAGCAATGGATGGCAGTGTGAGTGGTTTGTATTTGACTGTGACCTGGTCCTGCCAGAATACATCGCTGACCTTGAATACATTACACTGGTATGTACTTTGTTTTTCCTAGTGTGATATTACAGGTCAAGTTTTAAACTTTGCATATCAAAATGAAAAAAAAACAAATAGGTGAAATGAAAGCCTGCTATGCTCACAGGACCTGCCAGGCTCAGGTTTAAGTCTGGTTCTCCTCTATCCATTCTATCAGATCCAGATAAAACTTATTTGGAAGTCAGTGGGACACTTTCTACTCATTGGGGGAGCTAGAGAAGGCTTTTATTTTGTAGTTGTAAAAGGCATAACAAAGAAAGCACAAATCCTTTAATTAAGTTTTGATAGTAAATGGAAACGTACTTTAAACATACATCCACTATCAGTAAGAATTCCTTTCTCTGAGGTACCATGCAAGGTGCAACCAATAGTACTGACTTTGCAAAATATCTTGTTTTCAAGAGATATTTAGTGAGCAAATGATTTTTTTAATTGTTTGGTTTGAATTGTGAGTTGTAAAGTTTTGGGAGAAAAGAAAGGAGATATATTTCATTCTCCTGGTAATCCTAAACAAGTTTTCCTCAGGTAAGAACTGCTTCTGTTTATTTTTACATATAACCCATACAATGCTGTTCTTTCACTCATTTAGCTTCATAACTTGCTGCCAAGGTGAAAAGGGTAATTTCAGACTCTGAGCTACTCTGTGTGTCTGGTAGAAACAAAAGAGTATGAACAAGAGTTTATGAGGATATTTAGCTCCGGGGAAAGGAAGGAGTAGAGCAGAATTCACTGATGTATCAGGTCTGCCTGGTCCCATGGCTCAGTTGTAGGCTGCTCTATCATGACTCTTCAGTCCATATGTGTACCTCTTTTGGCTCTAGCCAGAGATATATATGATATATAATGACCTACATAAAAAAATCATTAGGTAGTGCAATGAGACAACTGAAACCTAATTTTTAGCAGATCTAGACAGAAGGATGATTTCCTAACTTGATTGCTATGAATTCCCTGATCAAACTTCTCTGGTTTGATGCTGAATATTAGATTTATTACTTAAATAAAAAGCAAACAGTTTACAAATCTTAGATGCTTTTGTTTTTTTTAATATATCTACATAGGTCAAAGATAAGTCTCTATTTTCGACATGCAGCATAATTATGGAAGAGAGAAAGAGAAGCACAGAAGTTTTTATTCCATCTCATGATTTGCAACGTGATGATGAAGTTTTGAACATGGAACCATCAGTAGAAGTGAGGCCTAAGATTACCTGTTTAGATGAAGTAAAAATACTTTCAATAGCTAAGGCCGATATCTACAGTCAGCTACAGGTGAGGTATTGTTGGGTTTTTTTTTAATAATTGCTTTTTTCAGTGAAATAAACATATTACAAAATTGTTACTTTGTTGTGCAGATTGACCAGAGAAAACCAAAAATTAATGTTTCCATTTGAGCTCAATTCTGATGTTGCTTAGGTTTACTTGATATCAGTAGAACTTGTGGTCCTCTGCCCATCAGTTTCACACAATGTGAACTGTTGCTTCCTACTTGATAAAGAATAATGAAAAATATCTGATGCTTCCAATTATGAAATAGTTTCCAAACTGTCCCATTTTTAACTCCAGTTTGTGACCTGTAATTTTTTTTATCTGCTGCTTATATTCTCAATCCCATTTTTATGATTTTTAAAATATACTTTTTCTTTCTAAAACTTGTTTAAGAGATGATGTTAAGAAAAGGGAGAATAGCAGTTCTGGTTTTGTGCAAACAAAATGCCATCTTTACATTGCAATAAAGGTCACTGTAATTCCAGCAACTGTCCTCTTAATTTGCCTTTTCATAAGGGTCTGCATTTTGTGTCTCCTTGGCCTCACTCTTCCCATTCTGCACTTTAAGAAACAGGGGGAACTGCTGAAGTTTCTTCATGTTCCCTTCTTTCATAAGCTGATGGACTGTTTTTCCATCTTACCCAGGTTGCCTTTATTTTGTGAAAAAAAGTAAATATTCTTCAAATAAGTGAAAAATGACTAATCATAACATTTTGTTGTCCTTCAATATTATGTGTCAGTTCGCATTCACCTTTTACAGTCTTTTTATGATTTATCAGTAGGATGGTATTTATATTTTCACTCCAATAGCTGAAGCTTTGTATTTTTAAGGCAGCTATGGAATACTACAGAATTTGACTCTGTGTCTGATAAAATCATAATTTCTGATGTACTTTTGGCCTAGGTCTTGAATTTACATGGAAACAGACTGAAGAAGCTGCAGAACATCTCTAGATTTAAAACACTCCGAAAGCTTATCATCAGCTTTAATGACTTTGCTTCTTTAAATGATATTTATGACTTGGTGAGAAATTAAGGTTTTTTCAACTTTTTTTTTTTAAGAAGATCTTTTACTAGCATTAATATTCTTGCATGTGGGGTGGACTCACAAGACAGGATTGAGGCAGGAAGTGTACATCACAAAAGAATGGGGGCTAACCTAGCATCACAAATGCTGTGGTACTATTAGCAGCCAGCAATTTTCTCCAATTTGAATCACAGTATTACAGCATTTTATCACTCATCTGTCCTTCACAGTGGTCATTTCAGTTTAATAAGTAGTAACACTGAATGTAGTACCTGAATTCTCCCCCTGGCTTTGCCACTGGGCTACTTGATGATTCATATCATGTTGCTTTTCTCCTTCATTCCTAATAAGTCAAGTGAAGTAAACTATCAAAGAAAAGGTGATTAGAAAGAGCCAAATCTAAAATGGTCTTGGAGCAAGGTGCTAAGGAAGGTATTCATTTTCAGCCTTAGAATGCCACACAATGTGAGGCTGCTTTTGTAGTCTTTAGACTGGAATAACTAAACACACTTAAGTGCTAATCAGGACCTCTGGGCTTTCCCATCTTGCTGATGTAGATTCAGGGATCCAGTTCCCAGGTTACCTTCAGGCCACTTAGGAGGATCCTGATATGAACACCAGATGCACTCTCCTCCCTTAAAAACTTCCTGGCTGTCAGTCATGCAGACATAACATGCTGAAGTGCTCTGCCAGGTAATGGCTCCTCTGTAGTCTTTACAGGAACATGGCTGGAACATACTAGACTTCCCTCAGAGACAGTACAGAGCTGAATATTGGATCCAGTTAAGTCTGTTTAAAGATTCAAAGTATCTGATTACTTTAACCAAAGTTTATTTTGCAATACTTTCGGCAACACAACTATCTTCAAACCTGTATTGTTTTGCAGCCTAACCTGGAGTATTTGGATGCAAGCCATAACCATGTGATCACTCTTGAGGGCATTAGAGGCTTAAGCAAACTGCAATTCTTTGACCTAAGCTGGAATGAGCTGAAAAAGTCCAAGGAAGTTATAAAAATCTTATGTAAACATACTCCCAATTTACAAAGCCTGGACATCAGACACAACCCATGGTATAAGGTAGATATCAGTGCTTGAAATTCCTAGGAAAGCATTCTAACCAGGTCCACAGTTACATCATAAAGGCTTAAAATTAGGTCCTGCACCTTACTGATTCCAAGTCCTTCCAGTGTAAGAAGCTTTATGATCATTTTATGGCTTCTTTGTTCTCACAAAGCCTTCACTTTTTTCTGTGGTCACAGCCTAAACAAGTGCTAGTAAGTGAGCTAACATACAGTTAGTCTCTCTATCACTGTGTGTATCTCAGCAGCAGCACAGCTGTGCTGGCTGGAGCTTTGGAGAGAAAGCCAATACTCAGCCCTTTTACTGACACTTGTACATTGATATTGCCCAACCAGCTTCTGAAACAAATATTTCTCTTTATTTCTTTTAAATCAGTACATTTTAACATTATTTAAATAGCTTAGTGAGGATCACCACAGTTGACCCTTACAAATTGGAGGCACTGAATGACAATCTTTTTTTTAATGGTGATTTAAATACTAAGTTGAGTATTTTGTAATTCAAATTCAGGCAAACAGAATACTTGCTGAGTAGAATATTTCTCTTAAATACTTTGAATAGCAAACCAACAGGAAACATAACTCCATTTAGGCACCCACTGGTCCCTTTAAGCTTCACTGATGCTCTTCAATACTTGTTAAAATATAAAAAGAAATAAGAGCTGCTAGTTCCAGTCTATGCTTCTTTGTTGTGAAGAATTAAGTTTTTATCAGATTAAACTTTTAATTTCGCTAATTTTTTTGCCATCAACTTTGTGTCAACATGGTAAATCTTGTTTATTACACATACCTGCTTCAACATCCAACCACATTTAATTAGTTTAGAGCAAAGCAGAAAATCCTCATTACCTTTCAGAGGATGCATTCTACCAGCTAGCTCATAAAAGACTGCATTTGGGTTATTTAGCAATCAGAATATATTGATAGAACATCCACAGACAAAGACATTGTTATTCATCACATGAGAAATGTGTATTTCATGTATTGTTTTCAACTAGTGGGCAGTCTAATATATTCCCTATTTATAGGATACATTCATTTGATGTCTTGAGGCCTCAGTGACACTTCTAAAACCTTTAAACATCACTCACATGTCCTCTGACACTTTCTTTGCCTTTGTAATATTCCTAGCTCATAAATGGAACTCGTAAATACAGCTCATATATTAATGAGTACTGTAAGATTAGTAGCATTCTGAGCAAGCCATCCAACTCCAGACCAGTTTGTTTCCATCAGCATCACATAAAATCAGGAAGATCAAAATTGGCCCAAAGGTAACTTGTGCTGTGTGTTCCTGGCAAACTACATTCCTGAGCTGACAGTAAAATAAGCAGAAAAGAAAGTCTCTCCCTGGTATGTACTGGTATTGAAAAGAAGAAAAAGACAGAAAAGAGTAACCTTTTTTTTTTTTTTGGTCTCCTCAAGCCCACCTCCATCCGGCTAAGTGTCATTGGCCGACTAAAGACTCTCACTAACCTAGATGGAGTCCTGATTGCTGATGAAGAAGCTGCAGAAGCATTATACTATATTGAAGGATCAGTGATAACCCAGGTGTGATATTCTGTTTTGTTATAACTTAGTGAGTACTACCAAAAGGGAAAGCCATGTGAACAGTTCTACACCTGTGTTTGATGTTGTGGATGATGCAACATCAAAATACTTGGTTTTCCATTGCATTTTTGTTATTGTTGTTTTATCTTTGCTTCTATTGGTAGATCTGAAAGTACTTAATAAAATGTAGGTCTTACAAAGATCTCCATTGCTACCAAGAATTTTGCTTTGTCACAGTGTTGAGAACAGTCATGTCTAACTCCTGCTGAACACAGGATGCAAGAAATGTTTGCCAAATAGAAAGAGCTGAGGGGAAAATAGCTGGCTAATGGTACTATATACTTCTTTTAAATATCCCTTGCTTTAAGGTCTTTTCAATGGGTAAATTTTCAGAGTACTTTACAACAGGTATGAAGCACATTCTCCCAACCCCTGAGCACAAGAACTCTGGACTATATCTCAAAGCACTCCTGAACCTTAGGCTGAGCTTAAAGTAACACACACCATGGACTGTCTAGTTGGAACTCAATATCATGCTGACACAACGTTTATATGATCAGAGCACAGTCACAGTGCTACTGTCTGCTCACAGTGAAAGCTAAGTAAGATCCTCCTGCAAAGAAGTGGACAGATATCTTCCCAGGAAACAGTCTGTAAGGTTAATACAGAGGGATTTAATGAGGTCTACCTTCTCTGCTGTGAAGTACGTAAGTACTGAAAACTTCAAAAATTTGATATGTAAGACCTATAGGAGTATTTCAAACCATTAGTCTTATTAGATCTATGATTTATTATGTCTGCTGATAACCTGTTCCTTTAAGGAACAGAAAATTTGTATGCTCTTTACTGTATGCTGGTGAACTGTGTATGGTATAATTTATAATGCACTCAATAAAATATTTTTTTCTTTTTCCTCCAGGAATTACTGTTGAAATATTCCAGGACTGATGAAGAAAAGCCTCCCATTCTCAGCATATTTTCTTGTGCTACAGTTCTGTCTCAAATCAGCAAGAATAGGGTAGATTTAGAGATACATAACAACTGGTATTCAATGGTAATGCTGATGCTGTTTAATATACTTACATCAACACTTAGATCAACCTATGTAAATGTTTTCATTTGTTATCTTAGTTTAAAGATTTTATGCTGTTTGATTAAAGCATATGACAGAAAACTTGAAAATCTAACAAGAACTTACCTTGTTTCTGATTATAGCCACCTCCAGACATCTCCCAGGAGGAGGTTTCAGATACCTGAAGGGGGCATTTCAATTGCAGTTTCTGCAGTGCCTTTTTCTCATTAAGAGATTTGTAAGACCAAGGAGTGACTTCATGCAGAAAGCAGGCAAAAAAAAGCATTATCTGGTAACTTCTGTGTCCAGACCATTATGATCTCTCCAAGCAAGTCTTATGTAAAGCCATTCAGATTAGGGTTAATTTCACCTAACATTTGTGGTCAGCAGCACAGATAACCATATTTGAACTATTAAGCCTAGGTTCTTTTTATAGGCAAAGCAGACACAGAAACAGCTGTGGAACGTGATCCTCTGAGTGTTCAGAGGGGCACTGCAGTTTGAAGTGCACTGCCCTTTAGCAGAGAGTCTAACAAGCTATCACAGATGGAGATGTCTCTATTGCTGATATGAAATTCTCAGTGGTTCTCTAAAGATTTTGAGTAACAGTGAATCTGTTACTTGAAATAAGTCTCTCCTACCTCTGTCATGTCTACCCTGTTTCTGAAAAAAATTTGGCTACTACCACTAAGTAATTCTTGTTTCATTGTAAAGGGCTAAAAACAGGTGTACTAAAGAACCAGAAGTCTTTTTCTTATCTAGCCCAAATCATCCCACTTTTTACTTTTTGAGATCCATCCTCTAACCAGTATTTGTCTATTAAGCAAGAGATACATTTAGAATGCAACTGAGACTGTTTTGTTATGTCCAGTGCCCAGTTAGATCTGAGCTCTCCAAGTGTCTTAGGCCAGTCAGAAAAAAAGTCTCTCCTGGATTTTCTCGTGTCTAGCATTGTAGTGCATTGTAGCAGAGCCACTACTGTAGCTTTTCCTTCACTGGAAGGATTAATTTATGTCTCTTATTTGGCTGTTCATGAGTTCATAAGAATTTGGTATCTTTCAGAGTTCTGCTTGTCTGACAGATTGGGCCAAAAGTCACTGCTGGGATTGAAAGGCAGTGGTAAGGCTAATGGATGGATATAAGGTAGCACAATCACACCAGGCTTTTTTCCTTAGGAAACTGAGCTAACAGGCAGCCACAAGATTCAGAGAAAAAAGATCCAAGGTCAGCCTAACCTGTTGTGACCCATCAGTTGAAATCATGTTAATCCACTCAGTATGAAAGGTTAAAAGCTCCTCTGTCAGTTCAATTTGTTAACACAATATAGAATAGCTAGAGGAAAGCACAGATCTGTTGATAAGCATAGCATTTCATTTTGTGTGCATTAGGGAACTCACAATTACTGAAACTGCCAGGAAAGTTACTGCATTAGCACGTGTCACATATCTTTTGTGACATCAGAGAGAAAGGATTCATAATAGGTAAAATACATATTCTGGGAAAGGAAATACTGTAGCCCAAAATGTCCTTTAGTCATTAAAAAATGACACTGAATGTTTTAGGTTGTATTTACAATACTGGATATTTTGGGTCCCTACAATGCTATTTGATTTTTTAAAGTTGAGGCTCTATGGTCATTTTGTTTTTCCACTGCACAATGATTTGTTAACAGACTACAGTATCATCAGAAAGTAGGGAAGCCATAGTCATGCAAACAGGTTATGGATAGCCCTGTCTACAGGAAGCTTGATGCCACATACCTGAAGTCAGCACCCATTTAAGTAAGCCCTTTGACAACCTAGACAGCAAAATAGGTATTTCCCACCTACATTTGCTTGTTTCTATCCAAGACTACTTATATAATCAAGAAGTACACAGATGCTATAATTAAGAAATATATGAGAGAGTTTGGCTAAGCAAGTTGTTACACCAAAAAAGAATAGATAGAGAAAAGAATAGATAGAGAACTCACCCTTGTCCTAGGCTCACTGGAAAACTCCAAAAGGAGAAAACTCCAGAAAGAAATCCTCTCCCCTTGGTAAGCAGCTCTTAAATGGGTCTTGGAGAGGTGGAGCCAGGCTCCACCCCTTCCGGCAGCACAGGTGATTTGCCTTCACCTGTGCTTCCAGGGCTGACTCATTGCTTGCCTCAGGTGATCAATCAGAGGTTCAGGCCGTGATTCAGCAGTTTCCATACGCTACTTCAAGCAAATTAATGAAGGCATTAATCTAGGATGGAAAGAAAAAGAGCACTTTGTATAGAAAGAGCATGAAGTATTATGAAGTTAGGATAAAAGCTGTGATTCAGGACTTAGCATCTGCTAGACTCTGTATCCAGGTTTAAATATCAATCCCCTGGTGTTATGCTGAAATGCTGCTTCCATTACCAGGATTCCATTTCCATCTAAACCAGGCCTGGTTTAGAACAAGTACCTGTAAAACAGACTAGATGCTAAAATAATGTATCAATAGAAGGATTTAAATCACCCAAAGCTATCTCAAGGCAAACACAGGCAAGAAAAAAAAAGGCTATGTTCAGATTGCTTCAACAGCAAAGATACATTTTGGAACTGGCATACTTATGAGGGAGAAGCTGAGTTTTTTTTTAATTGTATTACAGATTAGCAGTTCTTTCACATAATGAGGAAACGTCACATTCTGCATCTAATAAATTGTCATAGGTATCAGTAGGAAATGTACACATTGAAACTGAGCACAGAATAAATAGATGGAATTAAATTGATTGACTGGTTTCTTTTAATTCTAATAATAAGTTTTATTACAGATCACTGTCTTAAATCTGGATGACCAACATCTCTTCAAAATTTCCAACTTGGAAAAACTGGAGCACTTAAGATGGGCATCATTTAGCAACAACAATCTCACACAAGTAGAAGGACTGGAGTCTTGTCTTAACCTCGAAGAACTCACTTTAGATGAAAACTGCATTTCAACACTTGATGGTAATACATTTACCATGGTAGTGGTAATTCAGGCTATTAAGCTAGGACTCAATAGAAATGCTCATAGTGAAACATTATATGGAGGGTGAGTTTTTATTTTCTAGCTACTGTGTGAGCTTTTCAAGTATTGAACAACATGATGTCTGGTTGCTGAGCATATATTTAGTTGAACTGAAGTTAGGGATTGAGGCAGAGAAATTACATTACAGCAAAACAAGTTGTAATGTTTTGGTTTTATTTTATTTGACATATTTACCTACATTTAATTGATATAATGGTCATGACATAGTTACAGTTGGACCTGTTAACACAAACTGTGTCCCTTATAACTTGTTTTACCACCTCTATCAGCCACCTGTTTCTGTTGCACCTAACTATACATCTTGTACATCTTGTTTGTTTTTCAAGGAATTTCAAAGCTCACCAAACTTACAAGACTCAGTGTAAATAATAACCATCTTACCAGCCTCAAAAGACACGTGTTTGAGAATCTGTCTCATCTTCATTACATCTCTGTTGAGAACAACAGGATCGCATCTTTAGTTGGTTTAAAGAAAACACACTCCCTAATAGAATTATACATAAGTTATAACTGCATTTCTACGAGCCAAGAGATCTATCATTTAAAGGTAAATATGAATTTACTATTTCAGAGGTTAATTTGGTTATGAACACGTTAGAAATATTTTGCTGCTTGGAACTGAGGAAGCTATACTTCAGAGCACAATTCAAGGTTCTGCCTTTGAATGCTGCATCCATCTAGCTTTACAGTTGGACCTACAGTGACAAGAATCCCACAGTAGCCTTTTTTGACGAGTGCACTTACTCTTAGAAGGAGATACTAAAGCCTCTACTTAGATTGGGCTCAAAACTTCCTGCAGTTAAATATCACATATACTGCGTAGGCCTCAAGGCTTATAAACCAAGAAATAATTTTGCACATCACACAACCACACACGCAGCACTTCCAGTTCATTTCAGCTACCATATGTATGACAAACTTTGTTGGCTGCTGTCAGACACTGACTAATGGGAGCCTGAGATCCTGGTTCTTATTTAAGTTAAGACTCTCTTAAAACTTTGTGAGAAGACAAAGGCTTTTCTAGGGCATGTTAGTATAGTTTTCACTTACTTTGAGAGCTCTGTTTGTAGACGGTACATTTGTCTATTTGTAGGTGGTGCAAAATGCTTTTAATATAAATGAAAATATCTGGACTCTCTTAAAAGATCAGTTGGTTTTGACTTTTGCAGGTGACAACGGAAGAGATAGCTGAAAACAGTGTAGCCTGAAAGAACCTACATATGGTTGTTTAAAAGTAATACTAACAAGAGATTTGTTTTGCTCTTCACAGGGTTTAACTAATCTGATAATTCTGGACATGAGTGGAAATGGAATAGTCTGGAAACAAGATAACTACAGATTATTTGTATTATTCCATCTTCCCTCTCTCAATGCTTTAGATGGCATCTCTGTAGTAAGTCATGCTGTATGCAGATTATTATCAGATTTTTTGTTAAAAACATTCTTTTATAAATCAAGCTCCAGATGACTGGACTTACTGACATCACATATGTAACCTTTTCAGGTACTCAGCAATACTCCATTGTTTGTTTCTATGTATTTTTAGTCATTTTGAGATAGAAATTGGCTTTTTTTTTCTTCTTTTTGTAGAAGTACCTACCACTACAGTGTCCTAGCACAATGCTGGAGTTCTAGGGACTTTAACTGTAATCATGAAACATCAGCATGATCAGCTCCAACCATGAAATAATCAGTGTATATTATTTAAAATTCTTTATTATGAACCAACTGAGAGAAGGCAGACTAGTCTGTTGTATAAGAAAAATGGTCACATTTTTAAGGCAAAATGACACCTTTTAAAGTTACTTCAATTGCAAATATTTTTGTGTTTCTTAAATTACTATCACAGTTGTAGATCTGCATTAATATAGCAGACTTCCCTTGAAATGCATTTAACAGGAACCTGCAGAAGGAGAATGTGCAAAAGATTTGTTTGGAGGCAAACTCACCTCTGACATGATTGCAGATAGGCTGGGACATTCAGACTTCACAGAAATGCAAGAATTAGATTGGGCAAACTCTAACATAAGGTGCGGTGATTTTCAGAATTGCACTGTTTGTTAGCAGTAGCATTAGAATGCAGTTAGAATGTGAAAATCTGAAATTAAAACTAGTGTTTACCAAATGTGCCAACTGATAATTCCATTCTGTCAGCCTAAGGCTAAATAGAGAAGGGAGTACTCCATCTGAGCAATGGCAGCTCCAGAACTGCTGGAAAGCAATGAAAACAGCCTAAAGATATGGAGCTGGTATTCCAGTAATGAGCTGTACAGGCAAAAGGAGCAGAGTTGCAAGCCCATGCTTCTGGTGTCAGAATCAAGTCAATTTCTTACTATTGGGGAAAGGAAACTGTGGATTTGTTTGAGATTTTCATTAGATTGCTTATTTTGTAGGAGCATGTTACCTTTCTTACCAAAAAGCAGCATGTTAGGGAACTGCTTATGCTATGTACATCATTTATATCTTATTTTCTGATATTACGTGTACTCTAATTCCATAATTATATTCTTTACTTAATTCAGAGCTGTAGAGCTGGTGCCAGCAGATCAGTTTAGAAGTGTCAACAGTGTGAATTTACAGAACAACAATCTCACATCTTTCAGTGGATTAATCTTCCTTCCTAATGTCAAGGTGAGTTCATGACAGTCTTTTCTATTTTTAGAAAAAATAATAAACTAATTTCCTTGGATTGAAAATACATCTTTAATCTCATTCAATATCATGTTTGTGGTTTTTTAACAACAGTAATCAACTGGCAAAAAGCTGATTGTGACCTCTGTTTCAAGTATACACTTGAAAATATTGTTTCACAAAACTGATCCTAAAAAATCAGTGAGTTGCACCAGACATTTTAAAGTACTCTAGACTGACCAATTTTGTTTCTAAAAAATGAAAATTCTGAGTCAGAAAAGTGTAATTGGCAGGCTTGCTAATGTCTTAACAGTGGGGCATTCATTTGATTAACTGTGTTTCCTTTGTAAGGTACTATGTCTGAATTACAATCACATTGAATCAATACTGCCTGGACAAAAATCTGCAGATGAGTTAACAAATAGGCAACAACTGCACCGAAAGGTGATCTCTAGTGGTTATGGACAACAAGAATATACCAAAGGAAGAAGGTACCAGAAGCTTTTAAAGTATGCTTATGTCTCATTTTTAGCCCACTGAGGAAGGAAGAGGTATCTTCAACCAGTAGCTGGAAGTTCCTTGCTGTTCTGTTTTGGGTGTTTTATTGTGCTGTTATGTTGTGAGTATTGGTTTTTGTATTCATTTTGCACACTTACAACATGTTTGGCATAATCTACTTGGCTTTTCTGTCCTAAATTCTTTGGGTACAAGTTGTCAGGCCAGTTCTTCAAACTAACAATACCAGTCTTTTGTCACCCATCCTTTGGATCCTGTCACACAGACAACTAGGCACACCTTGACATTTATTCACCTTTCTACAAAGGATTTTCTTTTGATTAAGGGAACCTTCTACCTTTCTCTGGCTGCTGGTTTGATCTGGAACAGTGTGGACATGTACTCCTATCAGACTGATCATTGATATTATGTGCTTCATTCTTCAGGTAAATTTGTACACTATACTACAGAGTGTTATCAGCGTGAAGAATATGGTGAGATAGATAGTATTTCAGTCTCTTGAGCCTGATTTCTGAAAATACAGCTGCCTTGTGCTGTGTATTATTCTGATAGCCATCACAAACACTTATTAAAATCAGTGTGCTCAGCCAGTTCAGGATAAAATAACTTTTATGACCATAAACAAGGCTTTTGTTTGTTCAGCCAGAATTCAGACAGTGGTCTCAGACATAGGGTTTGGATTTTGTGTGGTCCTGTGTGCAGCCAGGAGTTGGACTAAATGGTCCTTGTGTGTCCCTTCTGTGATTTTCTGATTTATCCTGCCATTAAACCTCCTTTTCTTCTCTTATTTCATAAGTGAGAATATGTCATTCATCTTCCAAAGGAGATGGTTATACCTCTTCTTTCTTCCTTCTGCCGTCTACATTAGGTCATGTGTTCTAAAGAGCATTTTCAAATCACATTTCAGTTTGCAATTCTCATCTGTACACAGGACTAAAACTTCTGAAACCTGTCAGGATTCATTTACTTTCTTCTGCATGTAAGAAAACATCCATAGCCAAATTCAGTTTTATCATATCAGAAAAGTCTTCCAAAGTCCCCACATTTATGTGAACAAATGAACGCTTTTAAAATTTGTTTTATTTCCATGGTCTTGATCCAGAAAACTTGTTCCAGTATATGCAGTAGTTCTACCTCCAACTAGAAGACTTATCAGATTTCTTTTCTATGTTCAGGTGTAATTTTTGTGAAACCTGTTCTAGTGAAACTGCAGTCATCTATACATGCTTTTCATAACTGCGAGTGGGAAAAGCTAATACTCCTTTTTTCCAAGGAAAACCATGATGTTATAGTCTTGTTTAATTTCTTGGTTTAGGGATGCAGGGTTTGAAGAAAATCTGCCTCCAATAATGCAGAGTTTGGAAGTTCTTCATCTGGGCCATAATGGAATTACTGACATGGCCTACCTACAGCTTAGCAGGCTAAAAAACCTGAAGTTTCTATTTTTGCAGGGTAAGCGATGATCATTTTTCTTTACATTAATTCAAGTGTTTTACAGTACTTCCCTTATGTCCAGTCTTACGTGTGTCTTGAATTTGTGGTGCTCTTCTCTGGTCTTAGCCCAATGAGAATGATGCCCTATCTTTAATTCTTATCATGACTGTAAGTTCCCTCAGCTAATGAGCGACGAAATTTCACACATTTACTCTTGGTATGTTAGGAAATTTTATCAGCCAAATTGAAGGACTTGAAGGTCTCCAGTTTCTGCAAGAGTTGGTGCTGGACCATAACCGCATTAAAAGAATTTCACAAGGCTCTCTTGCTGGACAGAGTGGCCTTCAGACTCTCAATCTAGAGAAAAACCACATACGAGAACTGAATGGTTTAAAACCCTTGGTAAAATTAGAGAAACTCTTTCTTCAGTTCAACAGAATTCAGGTAAGTTATATTTTTGTTAATGCTGTAGATTCAGTGGACTAAATGTTGTAGACTTCATTCAGACAAAAATCCCATTTTCTTCTATGGATTTGCCTCAGTAAAATTACCTGTATTTTCCCCCAAATATATAGAGCAGCTGCAAGATTTCTGAGAACTCCTGACATAACAACTTTTTAACTTTTAAATTTTTTGTTAACTTTTGGACAGGAATTTTCTGAACTAGAAAAGCTTCAAATTATTCCTAGTCTCAAGGTGCTCTCACTGCATGGAAATCCAGTGAGTATGATGGTTGTCACTGCTACATAAAGCAGATATGTATTTCACCTTAAACACTAAGTATTTACCCTTTATAATTATTGAAACTATTACGATTTTTTTTTTCTCTAAACAGATCATTCTACTATTATTGTTTCAAGATTGAAAACTTAATAGAGTACACGATGGTTGTACTGACTTTTACCTGTCAGTGCAGCAGTGTGATCAGAAGACACTCATTCTTCAGCATATTCTTCTTCATTGTGCTGCAAGATAAATTTAAAATGCATGTGTTTGCATGAGTACATTGCAGAGATGATCTGCCCTTTCACTATTCCAAAGCAGGTCAGATCTGTGAAGAAAGATCATAGAATGTTAAAGGATCTCTGAAATTAAGATTTTGTTTTTAAAATGGCCTCATAGTAATCTTTTTTGCTGTCTTGCACATCACCCCTTGAAAAAGTCCTGAAAAGAAGTTTGAGGTTTCTTGTTTTCCAGACACGCTCCTGTTCTTCAATGTAGAATTGTTGGTTTGTCTTCTTTCTCTCTGAAAACAAACTACTAGAACACAGTAAAGAAAATTCTAGCCTTTCTGATTTTATGAATACATAGCTGTGGGACAGAAGACAGGTAACACTGTCACTGTAGAACAGGATTCATTTCCAAAGTACATCTCAGTGGGGCCAAATGTATGAAGAAAGTCTGTAGGATCTCAGCTTGATGTCTTGAGCACTGCTGAGCTTTAAAGTAGTGTCAAGCGTAAGTGGAAACAAAAATACATTTTTCATTGTTAGTTTGAGAACAAATGTGACTTTCTTCAGTTCTTCAACTTCAGTTGAAAATATAAGTCATAGTGCTTGTTTTCGTAAATAGGCTCTTGAAAATCAGACTGAAATCTCAAGTTCTAAATGCTTAAGTATTTTTACCATAAATCTGCACTTTGTTTAAAGCAACAGCTTGAAATACATGGAAGAGAGAAGGTGAGGATATATGTTGGAGAATAACATACGTAGTGCAGTCATGGATTCTATTTTCAGTGGACAGCCTTCAAAGGGCTGTATAGAGTGGTAAATTAACTTGTTTCTGCAGTGGGTGATGAAAAGGCAGAAGCATGTCAAGCAAACTGAATGTCATCCAGTAATGGCCAGAATAGTCATATTCTTCTGAGGAAAAAAGCCAAACAAATTTCACTTGGGAAGTTGCTGTTCCAGAGTCTACTTTTTAGAATTTGAGATCTAGACTTCCCCTAAAGGAGACAGAGATGGCGGTCTCAGCTCTCTTCTATACAATGTGGCATTAAGGAGAAGTACCCCACAGGGTAGTAGGAGCAATATCTGCCACTATGGTCCACGCTACAGATAGCATATACCCTTTTCTTTTCAATAACCTTTTTTATTAAAATAGAACACTATTGCTAGCACTTTCGGCCTCCAGTGCAGCCTGCATCTCAATGCCTCTTCTTAGAAAAGTGTAAAGCTGCTTCCTAGTAACTTCTTTACAGGGAGCACAGTGCATTTGAATTCTTGTGTGTTCTGAAAGCTATGACAAGTTGCTGCAGTCCTGCCTAATACGATGGCAAAGGTACAAACATTTCCCCAGGGTACAACTTTGCCAATGGAGTCATTCATGGTCACTTGAAGTTGAAAACCATTGTTCAGTGATGTATGGTCATTTACACCCAGTTTGGATTCTGTTCCTAGGAGAGCAATATTGGTCTGAGGTTTAGTTCAGACACTTAGTAATGTTGCTGAGGTACTATCAGATTGTCTTATTGGATGAGGATCCCATTTCTGAGTTAAATTATATTTTCTTTATACAGGTTTATCTCAAGAAGAACTACCGTTCATTGCTTCTCATCCAGCTGCCAGCACTACAAGTGTTAGATGGAATCGCAGTAAATGCAGAAGAGAGGGTAAAAGCTGAGTACCAGCACTTAGCAAGTTTATAGTAAATGTTACTTAAACTCGTAGGACAATATTCACGTCACTTATTCTCCTGTGGATCTTGCCCTAAAATTGCCACTGATTATGAAACCAAGAGAACGCGTGACAGCAGTTGGGCGTCTGCTGCGACCATTGTCTGTCACATTGACCAATGTTATTACTCATTATTTTCTTGTGCTCACCCATCTGTCAGTCTGTCTGCATTCATTGGGTGTGCCTCATCTCCTTTTACAATACAAACACACTGGAACATAGATTTTTGGTAAGATTCACAGTTAGGTTGCCTAAATATAATAATAACAACAGCAGAGAGTCAGAGAGGAGGCTAGCTCAACACGTGTCTCCTACAAACAGAAGGTTCATTGTCTCTGTGGTTCTCTTTATCACTACGACTCCACTCACTGAAAGAGTTTGTTGTCAGCACAACTGATCTGTGTTTTCTATATCACAGCATGAAATTTCTCTAGAGATTTGTTGGATGAACAGAACTCTTTCCTCGCAGCTAAAAAGACTGCAGTATTCATTTTAACCAGCCTTTTCCACAGAAGGATCAACCGAGAGTAATGAGATCTGGAGTCTGTTCCCACTCTGCTGTGCAAGGCAGTTCTCTCCATGTATACATTTCATACTTACACAGCACAGAAACAATTCTGTTACACATTTGAAACACAACTATTAAGGATGCTGAAAAGCTTCAGTAAGACCGGATTTACTCTCATCACCCTGGCCAGCTTTTCCTCAAAACTCTTTGCACAGTTCTTTATAGACAAGAAGCACAGCCAGTAGGTACCTACACCATAAAATTGTTCCAAATATCTTTTTCAGTTCTTTACTGCCATAATACTCTCATCATATTCAACCAAGTCTAACCACACCTATCCTTTATTTAGCTCCTGTCAGAAATTTCTTGGCGTACTACAGAGTAAAAGCTATTACTCAATACTGATATTAGTCACATCTTCACTATTGTGCCACATCTCGGTCTTAATGTTGGTAGTAGGTCACTGCTGAAACCAGGAAGATTAAAATCCCTGTACACAGTTCTGTCTCAAAAATGAATCTGTCACAAGTGTATTATCACAGATGTTTGAATGCTTACATTTACATCTTTGCTTGGAGTCTCAGGACCTTTGTAACTTCTTGTCCTAGAGAAACACATTTTCCCACTTAATGCCACAGTGCTTATATACAAGAGTTCAAAGCGCTTTTGGATTGAGTAATTTCATGTGTAAATGTTTTATTTCAAAACTGACCTGTACTTTCATTCCATGGATATCACTTAAATAAAAACATGGCAGAATGAGCAAAGCAAGAGAAAGCAACTGAAGCAATGTAAAGACTACCTTTAGAGAAATCTCTGTTTTATGTTTAGGTTCAGTGAAGATGTTATATCTCATTAGCTGCAACAGAACTGAGCCATTTTCTCATTAGATCATTCAAGTGGAACGACACAAAAGATCTTTCATGTTTGTCAGTTGCATTTTAGTTGTGCTTTTTAAAGTGCTTGTTAGAAAGCAAGAATTGAAACCGTATGGTGTTGTTCAAGCTTAGAAAGTGCTCTTGATCTTAAGCTTCAAAAGAGATTTTCCCAGAAACACTAGCACTGTGTTTAGTTCTTTTTTAGGTAGACACCAGAACACTCTGTACATAATATTGTTTTTTCTTTTCAAGCTATTGATTAAATCTCCTTCTAAAATGTTCGCTGCTGAATTACAGATGAGTTACAGAAGGCAATCAATTGCTGTTGCCATTCAGGTGTATACAGTCCCATCAAAATTAACACATTGGCATAGACTGGCATACAACTTTAAATCAGTTGCTACAAGAATTGGTGACCACAAAGTGAGACTTGTGAACTACTGAATATTTATAAATGCCATATAGAACCTTCCAGAGGTAATTTTTTATCTGTTGCCCATGCTCTGTAATTGGTTTAAATTTGAACATGCATTATTTTCCATCTTAGTAAAAACAATTTCAGGGCTTGATAGGTTTGTTACTCGAGTTCTTACAATTTTGTTTCAAGCACTTTGGTTTCATAGCTACAGATGCTTTTTCATGCGTACAGCTGGCATGGCTCCTGTGTTCACCTGAAAGCTTCTCTAGAAAGTGCAATACTGAAATCTTAACCTCACTACAGTAAATTGTAGAATTAATTCTATAGTTCTTTATTCACAGAAAGTTGACCATTATGGTTTATGCTACTTCAAAACAACAGAAATTCTACCAAATAATTAAGACCAAAATAATTATTCATTTAATCTCTCTTTTCTTTTTCTGATGGAGGATTTCCAAGTTGCAAACTCCACAAAGGACTCTGGATTTCCTGCACTGCCAGACAATTTTACAAGACGCACTCCCCTCAGGATCTCAACAGTGGATCTGAATGAAAGCATTAACCATTTACTTGATCTTACATTTGGTCACAAAGTTGAAGAGCCTCTACTGAATAAATCAAATAAAAGTAAGCATAAGCAAATAGGAATATGTTTCCCATCCCTGAACATTTAATGGGGCTATACTCCCTCATACTACATATTATATGGCCCATATAGAGCAGTTTTAGCATGGATACTTTTATTTTTCCTGAGAATCTTGCAAATTTCTCAAAGTTTCTGCAATCTGAGAGTTTCTAATAACCTTCCCAAAACTGGGAGAACTTATGTTTTTTGGAGTAATGCATCTTTGTCAGGTGTTCTTCACATTAGCATGGATCTTCAGATTCAGCCTGAATCATTGTCAGAAGAACTAAGCTTCCAAAAGATTTGATGTTATAATGATGTTTTAATTTGTTAACCAATTTCAGTCTGTAAATGAGTTTTAACTATGCTAGGAAATGATGTCTCACTGATCTGGTTGGAAAATTACAGAATTACAGGAATGGCACAGAAGAATGAGTGCCATTCCTGATGACTGATAGCTGGAGTGAGGCTGCGCAGGGAGAATATCCATGTGCATTTTGTGTTACAGGTATGCCTGGGAATCCAGCAATTACAACACACAGTCTTCGAAGCAGCCATGTAAAAAGAGCTCTTAGGCAAGCCAAAGGAGCAACAACTAATCTTAGAAGCAGTTTGGTGCCTCACGGTGTTACTTCTCAAACCAGCCAACTGCATAGGAACAACAGAGAAAATGTGGGCAGGTGAAAACTCTTACCAACTCTAAATACGGTATATTTTTCTTTCCTTTCTTAAGAGGGGGTTAGGACCAAAGTACTTCTGTTCCTTCTTCATTTGACTGATGTGCAAGATAACAATACTTTTTTCTACAAATGCTGCCAAGTTTTCTTTCTCTGATTCCAGATCCACAAAAATGTGTTTAATCTCTTTTTTCAGAGAAAATTCACAATGCATCTGTGAGAACATCCTAGGAAACAATTAAAAATTTTGCAGCTGAAACAATGACTATTAAACGGAGCCAGCTCTTTGATAAAAATAAGCTTGTATCTACTAAATCCCTGTTTAATCCTGTTCTGTCATGAGCTCAAAACTTCATTTTGTTTTGTATTTGTTACCCAGTTTTGTTTAGTAATCAAGAATATTAAGTATGGAAGCAGAAGTGCAAGAGTGAAGCTGTTACTGTGGTTAATTCTGTCTAATCATTGTTATGTAAACAGCAGTATCTTGCTATTACTTGCTGCCAGCTGATGAAATGAACAGGTAGGTTACACCAGCATTTCTTAGTATATCAAACATTTATCCACTACAGGAAAGTGGACAGCTCTGGAACGAAGACATTTCTATCTTGATTATTAATATTTGCTGCCTAAAGAGATCCCATCAAAGTCAGCTGTGTAAATGAGTGTAACCAGTATGTGAGCTGTTTGTTTTTGGTTTTTTTTTTGTTTTTTTTTTTGCAAGATTAGTCTCAAATGAGCATTTTTCTTAGGCATCCTTAATATATTTTTATACTAAAAACTATGATACAGGTCCTGTTTCTTCTTGCTAGAAAAAAAAAAAAAAAAAATCATTAGCTATATTTTGCCACTGAGAGAGCTAGTTAAGGGTTTGTTCTCAGAGATGTTTCTCACACAACCATCTTCAGCTGGTTTTTGGATGGGCACAGACATAATAGGAGCAGTTTCCAAAGGAAAATGTATTTCTGGTGAGCAATGTGACCAAACCTCTGGAGGAAAACACTTTAAATAAACTTGATTTAATCAGGTAGTGCTGTGCTGACTCAGATGTTACAGATGAGAAAGCAGGTCAGAGGAAATGGTATTACTCACAATGGCTGTTCTGTGCAGTGCACAATTCCCCCTAGCCTCATTTGAAACTGGCCTCTCCATATGACTGTATTCTACACTGAATGTGTCCCACCTAGGATCCTTCTGCAGGCACTTCTCTGCACTTCTCAGATAGGGTACATGAAATGCTGTAGCAAATACTGTTTACTGATGTTTACTTAATTTCTATTTTAATTTTATTTTTTAAATATTGATAAATCTTGCTTCAGCCCACTGCCTTTTGTTCCATCGATATTCCAGGTACCTTGCAGACATGAGATCTTTTAGGATAGCTGATATTCCTGTAGGAATGTCATGCTAGCAAGCCTCTGCTCTGCAGAATTGCTTCGTGAGCATTTTCCCATTCTCTTAGAGAGCTGGTTGCAAATGTTAAGGGAAAGCAGGTACAAAACAAGGAGCCCGAATCCCTGCTTAACATGCAAAACAACTTTGTTTTACCATTGCAGTCTCCACTGCAGTTCCCTGCTTACAGCAGAACATCTGACTTGTTTAGCTTTCTGAACAGTAAAATCTCCTGGGCTTCTTTGTGTTGACTTTAAATATTGTAGTTTTATATTTTGATAGAAGGCAAATTCCACCAAGGAGAGATTATCAAAAAAGATTTGGATGCAAATGAAAACACCTGTGTTTTAAAACTACTGCTTTTCATCCTTTGATGGCAGAAAACAGGAGGCAGCCATTCCATCAGCTACTTGTAGATGAGAGTGATAAGAAGACAATACACTGCTATCTCGTGGGCTCTTTCAGCTCCTCAGTATTAGGTCAGTATTGGTTTGACATCATCACAACTGGAACAGGGTTAAAAGCTTTCTCCATATCCACGGAAATCAACAAGATTTAAAAATACTTGTACAGCAATGGGAGGTACTGAAATACACAGTAGAATCTTGGATCTGTATTTAGAGATTGGTCTCTGAGTTACTTCAGCCAAGTTCTGGTTATGCATAAGAAACCTGGTCTCCTGGGAGTGCATGACAGGACTGAGTATCATGTTCGTATACAAACTACAGGTTTGTTTGTTTGTTTGCTTGCTTTTTCTTTTTAAGCCTCCATGGTTTTGAATTGATCCTTTTTTTTTAAAAGGAATTAACCAAAAGCCTCTTCCAGCCAAAGTGGCCATAAAAGTCAATAGTAACCATGAAAATGTGAGAAGTTAGAGATTATTTTTCTTTGGTATTATTACACAGACTTGAGTGGTGCTGCAGTAGTGGCATTTAGTATTTTCATTTTAAGGCTGTCATTGTGGATGTATAATGAATGACATGAAATGGCAATTAAGTAATGAAATCATTTCATTCAGTGAAGCAAACAATTAAACACATGTAGAATGTCTGGATCCCGTGGGACTCAGAGATCCCTTTGTCTTATTCTGTTCTAACTCACCCCAGTATAAATCTGGATTCAGTTTTCTGGATCTAGTTGCCAAGAAGTCTGAATTCAGCAGTATTTCTGCAGATCTGCATTGGAATAATGGAGCGTAGTCTGTTCTCTCCATCTCTACTATGCAGTAGTGTTGTCTTTCAACAGCTTCATGATCCTAATTACTGCTCAGTTTGTACTAAACTGGAAAAATAGTGTGGATTACATTATAATGAATTTTCTTGAAAAGGTGGGAAACTGGGAAAAAAAAATCAGTACATATCAGATAAGGATTATGCTGGCAAGTTTACTGTGCAAATTTACTGTCTTGCTGTTCAGAAATAACATTTCGGTGATCTGAAGGAGCAGTTAGTGTTAATTATGCTTACAGGTACACAGCAGGCGGCAGCGTGAAGGCTGTTAACGGACCGTAGACATTCAGGTTGTGGTTGGATCCCCTGTCTGGCTGCTGTTGCCTTTGTCTCGTGTGTAGTTTGCAGGACAGCCACAAGGTGTCTTTGTCGTACCGTTGATTTTCTAGACCAGGGCGGGTAACATATGCCTCCAATACTCAGCATAACAGAGGCTCTCACTTCGTTTGGATTAAGGCAGATTTGCACCTGAATAAACCAAAGCTGTAGGTCCTATCCTTGCATTTTACAAGGCAAGAATGAATTATTTGTGGTGTTGCAGAACTCAGCAGGGCCTGTGAGGGCAGCACAGCCACTGAGTCAGACAGTTGTTGTTTTCTGCTTAATTCGGAGCTCTGACTTCTTGGGTAATGGATCTGAGAGTGACTGGTTTATTTTTTGTGCAAACAATTTGCATCACCTGGCATCTAAAAGTCGCTGTCTGAGAGCCAGAGGAAAGGAACAGCAGTGCTGTCAGGGAAAAACATTTCATACCCAGAAGAGTTCATCCCATATAAGGTGAGCCAGCAGGAGAGAGAAGCATGTGCGCAGGTAGTGGAGAGGGAGGAACAACTCAGAACCAAGTGGTCTCCCACCAGTGAGCTGATTGTAAAAGTACTATGCTAAGGAAAATGAAGGTGCTCATGCAGATGTGGTGGTACTCATAGCCTTGTGTTACTGATCTCTGTACAAGATCCATCTCAGCCTCACATAGGTAACAAATTTTAAGGCAAGACCTATCAGTTCCCTTAAGTGAGAGAAGTGGGGAGGAAAAGGATGAGAAAGAGCTCTCCTTGCTGTCTTTAGAGACCACTCAGTGCAGCTTTTTGCTCTTGTGTGCTCTGTGTAAATTCAAACCATATAGAAAACCCCCCGTTTATGCCTGAACAAAAGTATCCTTTGGCATGCCACCTGCTTCCAAGATGGAGAGTGTTGTTCTGGCAGCCTGCTTGAGGTGAACAGCTCTCCTTTATGTAAGCTGTAAAAGCACAACGTGGTGAACATAAATTAGAAATACATGTGTATTCCCTCTAGCTTTGCTTTGTTTTCATTGTCTGAACGAATCTATGTGCATAATCTTTTGAATTTCAATGCCTTTCAGGGATTTAAAATTTCACTTTTGTCTTTTGCCAGGGCATTTTTAAGTGCAACATTTTATAATGGAAGCATAATTCTGGTTTTGGGGCTAACTGCTCTCCATTTAAAAACACTTCCAGGATCTCCTGGTTTAGCAAAAAAATATATATACATACTCAAAAGGATACATATATAACCTTTTTGAGTAACAGTATATTTAGAGTTGCAGAAGCACCATAACTGTAGAGGGCACTCGTGCTACAAAACTTTCAGAAGAGATGTCTGCATGGAAGAAACACAGATTGGAGCAGTGAGAAATGTTTAACGTGTATATTTGTCTCCCAAAGTTGTGACATTTGATAACATTTTGTTTGCTTTTGATCCATGCTCCTTTGCACGCAAACCCACTAGTAATGGCAGAGGGTGGCAAAGGGGATGCAGCAGAAGATAAAAGCCTTGAGACCACAGTCCAATATCTGTTCATCTATAGCTTTAAACCTTATTATCTCTGGTTTTCTGGTGTAAAACTCATGGTTATTATGAGGTTCTCTCAATGATGTTGGAGTACACAGGATGATGGAGACCCTTCTCACCCCAATGACACATTATGTTCCTGACAAGCAGCCCCACCACAGCCTTTGCTGTGAGAGACATTAGTGGGGTATCACCATGCTCACCAGGGCAGATCCAGACGTAAGTGGTCATACAGCCCACAGACAGTTCAGCAGGAAGGCTATAATTAGGTTGCTGACAAGGAAAGGGATAAACCTTCCAAGTAAAATCCCAGACAAGGATTTAAAGGCTCTGGGTAGTGACACACTCAGTTCTTTGGATGGATGTGCCCAGGATTGCCAGCATTTACTTGTCAGCCTCTTCTGGGGGAAGAATCCTGTATAGAAGAAAGCAAGCTTTCCTAAAGCATCTCTGCTGTGTCTCATACAGCAAGCTGACTTCCAGTGATGGGAATAGATTTCTTCTGCAAGCACCTTTAGTCAGTTTGGCCCAACGAACTGTAGTAGTGGTGCAGCAGAGCAGTTTTGATCCCACACATGCATTGAAATCAATGGGATATTTTTTCCTGATAAAAAGATGCAGAAGTAGCACTTAGTCCTTTCTGACTCTTGAGTCTAAAGAACAGTAAAGACTCTTTCACAGAAACACCATTTGCACCCAGGCTAGTTGCAGACATTCCCTGTAAAATACAAAATGAAAGCTAAGAGCCTGAAGAACACCAATCTGCTACAGAGACCTCACTTCTGCAACAGTCCCTTGGGCAGCACTGCAATTGCAAGAGTGTTTGTCTATTGCCTTATTTAATTTTGAATAAAGTTCACCAAAAAAGCAAATAAAACTTTGAATCTCCCCATCTGTATATGAATGCAGACAGTTAAGAAGTAATGCTGCTGCACCATTTCAATAGCTTTTGTCTGCAAAGTGTCATACTTTTCATTTACCATTTAATTCTTCTAAATGGATGTTGCTCTTCTTCCCATTATGGATCTCCACCGCTTCTATGAAACATTATTTGCATAAAAGGAACTAAATAATTGATAGAGGACGTGAGCAAAAGCTAGCACACATCTTGGTAGGGGTTTGTGGTAATCCCAGCGAGTCTAACACATAGCTCATAGCTTGTTTAATGGGATGGAAGCTGACAGGGTTTTCTTGTACCTCTGCTACAGAACTCATAGCTTCTGAATGACCTCCTTGTACTTAGCTACTTTTCTTGTTGATCTCGCTGCTCTTTTCCTCCATTAGCGGGAGAATTCTTCAAGGAAGTGATACAGTATGCTATGCTACAACTTGTGTTCACATACACCATAAAACACTGCTGCATCTGAGGCCTGGTGGATTTATTCTGTTGCTTTTAGAAAATAAAATAAAAAGGAAGCAAAATCGTAAACGGATTGTACTATTGAGGGCAAAGTCTGCAAGCAGCTTTCATTTACAAGTTTGTTTGATCTTGAATTCAAACCTGAGTTCGACCTTGGGATTACAGGCTTGGGGTTTTTTTCCCACATTAAGACTTCTGTTGGTAAAAATCTATTAAAGCTGTAAGATAAGATATATACTGAACATCTTCTGAATTTTAGACATCTCCGGTTAGTGAGATGACTGTCAGAGTGAATATGTTTCTGAAAGGAGGATGAGCCGTGGAAGCGATAGATCTTGAAAATAAAGCATGTTAGTTGTCTGAAAGAAATGATCTAAGACTACATTAAAATTGAATAATTATTTTTGTACATCTTTATAAATTTCTGAAGTGTACATTCTTTAATGATAAGCAGCAGTATTAGGGGAGTCTGGAAACAGCCGGGCTGGTTTGCTTGCTGAGGGAGCCATCTCAGCTGCTCTGACAAGCAAGCTGCCATTTTCAATGCGATCACTTCTGAAGCAGTTGTTTTGCTCTTAACTTTGTGCAAATCCCTCTTGGTATTTCTCTTTTGAAAGTAAGACGTATTTCCATATGTCCATAAAACTTTCCCTGACAATTCAGCATGCTTTTTGGAATGTCTTATTCCTGTTGGATGACGTGTGAAATGAGGCTGCTTTGTTTATTAAGTGCACGTGACATAATGTAAAACATACTTACTATCCTCTACCACTGCACAGATGTTTTTGTGCTGAAAGGAGACTCCAAGTTTTGCTGGTCTAATCAGCCTTTTGTTCTCTCCCATTTAGAAAGCCATTTCTTAAGAACTCCTATTGCTGATAAACACGTTATTACACAGCTCAAATGTTATTCTTAGAAATAA